CATTTGCTAACTTCCTTCTATCAGCTATATCCTCAAATCTGAACGGCAACACGCCCATGTCATTGTATCGTAGAATGTAGATGACCAACAAACACACGACATATCTCATCAACCAAGTATAGAAACAGAGTAATTTACACCAAAGATAATAACATTCAAATAGTAACTTGAAACTAGAAATGCCTTTATTCGTGCAAGTCAATTTAACAATTACTCTCTCGTTTACATTTGGCTTATTCTCACTAAACTGAGCAATATCTTTCGTCTTTTCAAACGCACCAATACTATCATAGTCATTGCACAAGATACTTGAGTTGATGGGTGTCTTTTTCATTGTGGATGACAGCACCAACGACGACTGATTGATATCAGTTGATGAAGTTAGCGGTGGATCAAAAGCTGTTGTTGCTCGGCTTTCAGAAATTTGTCTACCTATAAGACCACCACCACTGCTGTCTTTTACTATCAGCTCAGGTTTAGAAATAGCATCTGATGATAGGTGGGCTACACGCTGATCAATTACACTGACTGTCTCACAAGTATGCACACCTTCTGGAACTGCATCTGCGTTCAATTCTACTTCACGTTGTAGTTGTACAGAACCTTTATTTAACTTAGCAGTAGTAGGCATATCCCTCATCTCATAATGATCAACCAAAGACAAATGTGAAGCATCATGATCATTATCACGAATATTCACTTTACCGTCAAGTTCATCATTTTCAAACTCTTTAATAACAGAAGTAGACAATTTTGGTTCCTCCTCACAAATCATTAAAGGTTTTATATCTTCACTCTGACTAGTTATACTTTGTAAACTTGTGGAGTCAGAACTCCACTCTGAAGCAGTAACTCTATTCTGTGACACTCTATTCAGCAACGGCTTACCAGTTGCAACTACAGACTTCTTCACAACACCGTTATCGTCACACAATTCGGAGTCAGACCTGGAGTTTACATTTAGCTTATCACTGAACTTGCTCACTGGTTCACAGTTCACTTCTGTATGCACCTCTTGCACACGTGTAAAACAAAGCCGTGTTTGCCTTGCATCTTGTAACTTATCTGTTGAGGATGTACTACGAAACCTGTTACACTCACTAGGTCTATATGCATTACTAGACATCATGGAGTCTTCTCGATATCCACCTCTCTGAGGCTTATTCGTCATCAATGATTGCGTTTTACCCTCAGACTGCTCTATTCTAGGGGTGAGATCTAACAGACTGGCAAACTTGCTCATAGATTGATTGACACTAGTATTTACCAGTTTCAGGATATCATCAAACTTTGGCTCGATACCCTCATCCTCCATACGGGAGCTTATCTTCACCCACTTCCTTTGCAGTCGGGTAGGTAGACGTCTTGCTATTACTTCTAGTATAAAACTCGAGTTGAGGTCACTCATTCGATTCATCGAAATCATTCCATTCTTGTAAATTAGCAAATTATCTAAAAACTCAGTGAGTGCCTGAGAGTCATCCTGTAATTGACCACCATTACCCTCAACAGCCTCGAATAATTTCCCTGCAATCATCGAAGGTCTTCCAAACCTTTGGCGTAATATGCTCATAGCCTCATCGTAGCCCTCCTTTGGCTTCATAAACTTACAACACTGTATAGCTCTTGCAGCATCTCCAGTGCAATATCTCATCAAATACATCAATTTCAATTCATCATTTAATAAAAAACCACTCAACATGATCTCAAACTCCTTTACAAATTGTAAATAATCAGCCGGGTTTCCATCAAAACACCGTGGTTCAAATTTAGGGAGTTTGATGTTCCTATTATCCCTGAACGGCGAAACAGTAACATCAACCATATCGCGTTTAACATCAGACACATCGTTACAATTAACAGACAAGTCACCATGACTTACTTTCCTGTTTGCATCCAAGACACTCTGTCCCTTCTTTGACCCAGGCATTGTTGAACTTGACCCAATTCCAAAAAAGTTCCAGATATTGCTTGTTCAAAGAGGACTTGACCGGCACCAGGAAAAATGAACGGCGACTATCCAAACTTTCACCAACTGTTTCAATCCGCCAGATCTGTTTCTATCGTCAGAAACTGTCATCAAAGTCTCATAAACCGTTAATGCCCAGCTCTCGCTACGCTCGGGCCCACGCTGTTCTTAGAAGATTTCTGAGAAACGCTTAGTAACAACGGACGAAAAAACCAGAACACCAATTGTTGACTTGAGTATTATGTATTGTTACACCAGCATATAAATCAAGTATCACTAAGCAAACTAAGAAAACTAAGGTCTGTAAACAAATATTACAATAATAAATCGTTATGTTACTTCTGACGATATTTAACTCTTCTTTCTGAACAGCGACCGATGAGACGATGACTGTCGTATTGATGCCTCCGCGAAAATCGAGGAAGTTGATTTTGAGCAAACAACCAAGAATTGATCGTTCAATCTTCAACTCCATTGACATACCATGTCAAATGCCCGAGATATATCGAAGTAGAGAACAACGACTTGCTTACGTGCTTGGCGACTACTAGTGATGCAGTTGAAAAAGTCGAAGTGGCAAGTAACGCAGGATCTATTTTTGAGAAATCCGTGTTGAGACCTTGTAACAAGATCTTCCCTAAGTAGGTAGTCTGACAATTGATCTTTTACAACTTTCTCCATGATTCGTGAGATAACTGGGGTTATATTTATGGGTTTGTAATTGCGGACGTTTGCCTTATCACCAGATTTGTAATGTGGAATTATGAAGCTAGTTTTCCACTCACTAGGGTAAGTGCCAGTGTCCATAGATATTGAGAAGAATTTAAGAAGTGATATGAGTAGCTAGTAAGGGGGGCGGTTTCACCAGGTATATGTGTTTCTAAACTAAAGTTTGCAAACCAATCACTGAAAAGTTCACAGATAGTAATAGGCTCATTGTAGATTACTTTGTCATGAAGTAAGTAGGGGATTTCCCTCGCCGACTGCATTCGTTTTTTAAGAAGTGCCGTTAAGTTATAAACTTTGGAGGTACTTTCAAGTGCCTTTAACTCTTCGTCGAGGTCTTTTTGAGAGCGTAGGCGCTTGATAGATTCAAGAGACTCGTGGATTGAGTGCGACAGTGATATATCCTTAGTGGAGTAGTACTGTTTCATCAACTTCCTTAACTTATCGCGGTATGCCCTTGGAATATATTCAGGCTGGATCCTGATTTGAGAGATTAACGTTTCTACCTAGTAACCACTGAATTGAAAGGTTTTCAAGTATGGCTACTTCCTAGCAATTTGCGTGGATACGCTGCTGATAAAGGTTGCCAGTAATGAACGCTACGGCCTTACTCCCATTTGCTTTGAAGAAATTGGGATCTCATGTAACCATCATATCATTAATCCTTTTTACTCAAAGATTTTTCTCCATGAAGAAGTATTGCCTTTAATGATGCAGGTCGTGTATAACAAGAAAGCTGTTATTATGGAATGATTTATTTACGTGGTTGGATATGAATGTCTTAGTTGGTGTGACAGTCCTATGCTTTGCGAAAGCACCCGTCATTTCGCTTGATTGACTAGACCAGACCCGTATTGTTGGTTTGCTCCTCTCCTGGTTGGTGGACCACTGTTGGCAATTCTGTGCCTAAGTCTTTCCTCCCTAAGCACAGCTGGGCTCCATAAGTCTAGCAAATATCTGCCCTAAAGCTATAAATTTACTGTGCTATACATCGGTGTCTCCACATGCTGTCTGAACTTTCCAACTGTTCTGGCAAACCTTTGAAAGGCGACTCAAGATTTGGAAGGTTTACACGGTTTTCACGCCGACCCAGAACACTTGGAAGATTGGAAAATTAACGAAATATCCCTGAAAATCACTGAAATTCAAAGTGATCAAATTATGCCAACTGACACCGCAAAACGTATTTCTTACGGGAGATTCTTCGCAGTTTCAGAGCGTAATTTCAGTCCTATTTAAAAGGAAAAATCAGGTGCATGCTAGAATTAGCTGAGGGACGTGCCAGAACTCCTTCAGCTATGTAATTTTTGCACGCGTATTTCAGACCAGAGATTTTCCAAGGTCCCAAAAGACCTGTTAATATATGTGTAAAACTAGGGCACTGTATCACACAGTGATGTATCACACATGCAGTAAATAATACTGTTTTACTGTGTGATACATCTAATAAACAAACTAATGTGGAATTCCTAAGAGACCTACCTTCGACCGGCGCAGTATCTTCACTCCGCCGTCAGTTAGGAGGGACAATCTCTCGGAAATTTCAGAAAAGGGCGATGAGGGAATTATGGGCCTTCGGAACAAGACATTTAGCTTCTATAATGCGCCTCCGCATAGAGTAAATGTTTGGCAGCTTTGCAGCAGTCCATGGACAGGAAATGCTATCAGCTCTACTGAAACTACATGAGAGCCTCATAAGAAACACTTTCGATGAGTTTGAAGCTAAAATCCTCTTTGGAGCGCCAACAAATTTACATGACTCGTCCTCCTAAAAACTTACCTGATTCATCCGTTTGGTAATTTTCATTCAGATATACCTATCCGTTGTTCACATCATTACATTTGGATGACAAGCCCCAAATAGAACGAAACGTGCGTTGTTCTGAGTTCCACTGCTATTCACCATCCACCAATTTATTGGTTTCTTTCTGCTCTGGTTAGTTAAGGCGAACATTGTTCTAAAATACGTCGGTTGATTTGATGCTGTGTACGGCAGACATATGGTACAGCTTTTATTCCTTACATTATTACTAGTACTACTACTGGTACTGTGGCGTATGGTTCCGATAAGATTTATCAGTAGTATATATACGGACTTTCAAAAGCACAGAAAATCAAATAGAAGGGAGACACGTTTTACGTCAGAGAAAGTAAATAATACGGCGTTGTGGATATAAATGGGAGATGTAACTACTTTATTACTCCAATATAAATTGTGTTACACAATGTCATATGAAATTTGAAAAGGAAATAGTTGAGTCTTTTCACTAGTGAAACACAAAAGTATGCTTAAAACACAGTTCGCCATATGAACCGCCTGTTCAGCGGGTGATCCAACTAAGCCAATTGGATTTCTCATGTGGGTTATCAGTGGCTATGCCCACCCGTCGAAAGAATTTGGACTTAAGCAGACTGAAACGTTCCTCTAAAAGGAATAGAATATATGATTTATTCTCCTCCCGTAAATATTTATATATTCTTAACTTGCCATCATCACAGTTACGTACAGTACCTCTTAATATTCCTAATATGGGGGTTGTTGTTGTTCATAAATCGGTCAACAGATATGAGATTTGAGTACTTTTGGCCTGGATGGCTTTTCATATGCTCAATACATGACTCTGTGAAATTTCAAGGAATGGTAAACGTTATGATTATTTATATGATACATTTATAGCAATACACAATTGTTTTTATTATAATTGTGTTAACAGTAGACCTTGTCTGCTTCTTTGTGGTTCCTGTAACATGGGTCTACATTTGTGGTAGCGCATATGTCTGGGTTTACCTCTTGTGGCACACAGGTTAGTATGGTTTTGAAATGTCTATTGATTATTTAGATCAAGGATTATGCTTCCTTACATTATCTTTATGCTTCGTTTTTGTGTACTTTGAGCTTCATTTCTACCCAAAAGATATTCAGTCTAACCAAAGCATTTACCTTTTCCGCCCATTTGCAGCACACAGGTAAACTCTATTTGTCTTAATTCAGTATAATTAGCATTGGTTACTCGGTAGTTTGTACGGGGTTTTCCATTAAACGGTACTTGGATATAAGATACCGCAATGTAAGTATTTTGTTAATTTATTTTGAATTACCAGTTTAAAAGGATTGATGTCAGGCGACAGAACTTTCTGCATTTCCGAATTCTTCACGAGGCCCTCCCACCCTCTGCTGTAACTGATAGCTGTTGTAAGTCTCTTAATTTCTAGTGCACTTACTACAGGCGTTCAAAACTGTCTGGATTATTTACAAAAAGAACTGCTCAAAGTCGATGGAGGAAAGATATCTGAAGATGTGAGTTTCTGTGATCCCTAACTGCACCTATTGTAATTTGACTTCATGTATAGGTTTAACTTATTAATTCATTAATTTTGCATCGAATTTGTGTCAGCAATTTACATGTCAGTGCGTTTCTCATCTTCGGACAGCCCCATTACAGAGGTTTCTACACATTTCCTTATAATTATTGCTGAGACTCGCCGGTAAAGTCTAAGTGGTCAGTTCATTGCATGGTACCGTGGAATGAACGGTTATCATGTTTGTGCATCACTACTCCTTTAGCAGTTTCATTAAGATTATGCGGCCCGGTTATTCATAATTAAAGTAATTGTTTAATATATCGTGGTGTCTCTTCTGGTGTAGAAATTATTAATAAATGGACACTCGAATATCCCTGATAATTATGATTACTCGTTTCATTATATTATTTCCGAACTTTTACTTCTTAATTTTGTATTGCTGTTCTGTTATCTCATGCGACTCAATTTCCGGGGCTTATCGTTTTTCTTTTTGGCAAGTGAATATTTCGAAAATGTAGTGTTGTGCAGTGCCTACAAGCTGGCTACCGCTATTCCAGACACCATGTCAGGAAGAGTTGATAAATGCATGTTTCAAAGACACTCATCAGACAGCTTTGAAAAAACATAGAAAACATCAAAAAGTTTGTTTGGCATCCGCACACATGCAAAACGTTCACTATTCAGACAAAAACATAAGGTGTAATTACTGACTGAGCTTCAACATCGAACTCTACTCAGAAGTGTTCACATTGCACACTCAAAGGTAAACAAACGAAAAAAGAATGTTCATAAAACTATAACTATCAGATATGTCAGGAAGAAAGAAATAGTTGTAATATGAAACACGTGGGTTAATGTAAAAAAAGATCACAAGGAGTGAAAAAATCTGAGCCACTGAGAACGATTTCGAGTCATATGAAAAGTAGTTCCAACCCTAGAAAGTATCTAAAAGTGAAGCAACCAACCATAGTTACCATTTCACCCTAAATGATTGACGCAAGAAGACTGATTCCGGTGAGCTCCGAATATGATGGAGAGCGAAAGCTACTCAAACGCGAACTAACAAGAAGCCATTGTGACGGCCGTGTATGGTGGTAGGCGAGAAAAGCGAACGAGATGGAAAAGGCATCGGCGACTGGTAACACCAGAAAACTATTTAGGCTTATCAGGGAAACAGGTGGTAAAAGGCAAATGATAAGTGAAACAATCTCTGAGAAGAATGGCACCATAATTAGCTCCCAGGATAGACGACTGGAACGCTGGAAACAACACTATGAGGAGCAGTTTAATTGGCGTAGAGCCACGCTCAACCTTCCGACCATCCAACACCTCCCAGAATGGGATATAGACACAGGTCCTCCGTCCCTAACTGAGGTTACTTAAGCTGTCACTAGTCTGAAACAAGGCAAAGCAGCAGGACCCGATGGAATGACTCCAGAGGTGTTTAGGAATGGTAGAGACAGTTTGCTGTCTGCGTTAACTAAAGTCTTAGACAGCCACTGAGAATCAGAGGAAGTCCCGTCGGGTTGGTGTAAGTCATTGATAATTCCGATATACAAGAAGGGGGACAAGTCTTCCTGTGATAATCACATGAGGATTAGCTTGACTGATATGGTATATGAAGTTCTAGGCTCAATAATAATGCGTAGACTAAGTGGTGCTCGGGAGGCACAAACACGAGAGAACCGGGCAGGCTTTAGACCAAGAAGAGGCTCTATTGATCATATCTTCACTTTCCGACGGGTTCTGGAACGTAGGCACACTCAGCGGCTTGGAACAATAATCATATTTCCTGATCTAAAGGCGGCACGCGATTCTGCCGACCAAGAGGTACTCTGGCGATATTTGGCTGTGAAGGGAATGCTGAAAAGTACATTGAACTTTTCAAGGCACTCTACTCGGAGTCATGCAGCAAGTTGAGAGCTTACGGCGATTTGTCTTTTGAAAAGGTTACAGCTGGCGGTGTTGACGAAATGCAGTTTGCGCATGTTTGGCATGCGATTCGCTCCTACAGAATGGAAGATGCTGCTACAGGACTGAAATATATCAACCCCTAGCTATGAAATATGAAGTAAAGTGGTACAGTGCGTTGACCATTTCAATTATTTGGAAGTTGCATCAGCGTCAACGGATTGATCGCTGATGAAATCTCAGCACGGACACAAGGCTAGATTCGAACTTGCCAGTTTACGCCGTCTCTGGCGTAGGTGTGATATCCGACTAGCTGTAGACTAAGGAGCGTGTGTACTGCTCAGAAGTCCTCTCTCTTCTCCTTTATGGCTGTGAGATATTGCCATTGGAAGTGGAAGACGTGGAAAGGCTAGCTAGCTGTCTTTAGTCATAGATTCCTGGGTTCTATCTCCGTGGGAAATGGTATGATAGGGTGAGCAATATTGAGGTCAGACTTCGGTTGAGTGCTAGGTAAGGAGGGAAATCCATCGACAAGTTTGTAAAGTTACATCGATTGAAATGGTTGGGACATGTGTTACGCCTGCCTAGCCATCGATCGCCTTGATTGATGGACAATGCTAGCTGACAAAGGATTGATCAGGTTAGAAAAGAGTTAGCTAGCGGTGGTCAGACGAGAACATGGCTCATTAGTCAATGAAATCCACAACAGTTAGTTTAAGCCAGCCACGTAAGGAGGTGTGGACTTCCTGATTAGGTTCCTTGAGATGGTAAAAACCAATGGGTGGAGACAATTGGTGGTATGGCTCATAATCGTTCTCAATGGCGCAGATGCGTGCATTCCTTGTGATTTATCGTATCCAATAAAACTATGTGGCTTCTCCATATTACTATTCTTTTTGCCTCATATTTCTGTTTATCTATGTTTTGAATATATCTACTCTCTTCCCTTGCTTTGTGTGCTACATGGAGTGAGTGTGGCAACTTGAACTGCTGCACATAAGTACAAAGTTCTACGTTCAGTCAGGATTCTAAAAGCATATTTGTTTTCATCTGCTCCCACAATGGTCTTTGTGCCGAATGTGTTTACAAACCTGCTTTGGCTGGGCAAAGTAAGTTAGACGGAGGGATTACTAAACTGTCGCAACAAAACTGGTTAAGCTGCACAAGTGTGTTTATCTTGATCTCACTTCTTTTATAAGAAGTTTAGGATAAGTTTGTGACAAACAGGAATTAATTATTTCAATGTATATTATTATTTATTATTATGTATTATTATATATATATTTATTATATATTATTATTATTATTATTTAATCAAAATCACCGAGACATTCTTTTTAAGTAAGCAGTCGTAAACCCTCAGGTTGAAACATGCGATAAAAACGAAATCGATGTTGGGAGACATTTTTTAGTTTTTCTTGGAAGGTGCAAATGGATTTATACCGTATTGCCATTTATCCGTTTTCAAACCATACTCTACTTTTCATTGAAAAGTTGATATATATATATATATATATATATATATATATATATGACTTTTTAATGCTCATGCTTTAGTTGCAAACCTCTCTTTTACCTTTCGCTAGTTTTCATCCGATGCCTCCGGTCGGTCAGTAGTTATGTTTCTCCGTTTTGGTCAGTCATGTCTCAGTTGTTTAGGTCGTTGGGCTTTCGGGCATTTTGGCACCGTCGACAAACACCACTCGGATTATGACAGGTATGTCATTCATTTTACTGTCATCCTACCATTTTAAAATCTACCCGTCACGGGACTTTCAGTTTGAATCGGTCAACTGCTAAAAATCAACGTAGATCGTTGCGTGCTGGGCTGTGCAGTATTGTCTTCTTGAGTAATGATTTGACCTTGTGGTCAAATGAATGCATTCAAATCCAAGTGGCAAATGTCAGATCATCGTTGCTCATTGCGACTGATGCTATCTGGTCTCAATATCGTGTTAATATTTGTATAAAGTCCGAAGTTATTCTGCTTATATATATAGTTTTCGGTTGTCACTCCGGTATCATATTCCAACAAACATTATGCATTGAATTGATTGGTGGTTATTTGTACGTGGCACGGCAATCAGCGAGGTGGTGAAGCTCCGTGGAGGTACCTAGAACATGTCTAGTATACCTCCACTAATCACCAATGTCAGCTGAAAAAAGGACTAGTAGACTAGAGGTAGGTAATGATCAAGTGAAAAATGTAAGTAAGAAATACACTCTGGATGTCAAGTTGCTCAGTGTTTACAGGAATTGGTATCTCCAATGTTTTCGTCGTAGTAATTTCAGTTGACTAAGGAACCTACAGGAATATCGGTTCACATAGAACCAAACTTGAGGAGGATAGATGATCACAATGAAGTTGAATAAAATTCAAAGATAGATATCCTTTAGTTAGCTGCATGAATTAGTTTACAGCTGGCTCTAACACCACCACAAACGTTTGAGTAAAGAACCATCTCTAAGCCTGTCTAACTTTTTGGTCGGCAGATACACATGTAAACCATCAGAATCGAGGGAATTAAATCCCTGCTTCACGTCGAGAAATTCAAGGCGGTTATTGTGTTTTCCTTCGTGGTTAAAATTAATCTGGCTGAACACTACGGAGGAGCCCATAGCCAACCTCTTATAACTCTTGTATTTCTGTAGGACTTTTGTGAAACCGTATATTTTTCTTCGTTTCTATATGCATCCTGCTGACAACTCACGCGTTAAATTGTTCATCTTATCACTTAACTCTAATACACTTATTCAGCTCTTATATAATGACTAGTGATTCTCTGGCGTAGGTGTTGTATCCGACTAGCTGTAGACTAAGGAGCGTGTGTACTGCTCAGAAGTCCTCTCTCTTCTCCTTTATGGCTGTGAGATATTGCCATTGGAAGTGGAAGACGTGGAAAGGCTAGCTAGCTGTCTTTAGTCATAGATTCCTGGGTTCTATCTCCCGTGGGAAATGGTATGATAGGGTGAGCAATATTGAGGTCAGACTTCGGTCGAGTGCTAGGTAAGGAGGGAAATCCATCGACAAGTTTGTAAAGTTACATCGATTGAAATGGTTGGGACATGTGTTACGCCTGCCTAGCCATCGATCGCCTTGATTGATGGACAATGCTAGCTGACAAAGGATTGATCAGGTTAGAAAAGAGTTAGCTAGCGGTGGTCAGACGAGAACATGGCTCCATTAGTCAATGAAATCCACAACAGTTAGTTTAAGCCAGCCACGTAAGGAGGTGTGGACTTCCTGATTAGGTTCCTTGAGATGGTAAAAACCAATGGGTGGAGACAATTGGTGGTATGGCTCATAATCGTTCTCAATGGCGCAGATGCGTGCATTCCTTGTGATTTATCGTATCCAATAAAACTATGTGGCTTCTCCATATTACTATTCTTTTTGCCTCATATTTCTGTTTATCTATGTTTTGAATATATCTACTCTCTTCCCTTGCTTTGTGTGCTACATGGAGTGAGTGTGGCAACTTGAACTGCTGCACCTAAGTGCAAGGTTTTACGTCCACTAATATTAACTATGATAATGAGATCTAATCACTTTATTTAACTGCCCCGTTGTATGAGAAAAATTGTAAGTGCTATTGTACTGCTTATGGGAATCGCCGAAGAAAGCCTCTTCGCTGAACTATATTTTGTTATCGTTAGTGTCTGTATGCGGATTATTCATGAATACTCATGTGTCTAGTTACCTCCTTCCTTAAAATGAGCTACATGTTATCATAAGTAAATTGGACAGAAAACTATGTGTTTACTGCTTGCATTCAGTCTCAGACATGCACGTGTACGGACTAATGTATGATTGAAGGTAGTCAGCTGCAGGTATGCAAATAACAAGTGAGTAGGAGGGTGTTAGAAGTACTCGATTAACCATTATTTTGTACAGGTTATATCGAAACGACAATGCAAATTTTTTGACAGCGTATATATTTAACCCTGACACATTATTGTGCTTTGAACTTAAGCATATTACACCCTCGCCCTCTTCAAGAGCTAATGAAATTGGCCTGACAAACATCTGTTTATATATTTATGACTCAAGTTTTCTTAAGACGTATAAGTATTACGTGTTTACAGTCACAGAAATTGGATCTAAAAAAGTACACAACATTTTAGTCGTAAAATTGAAGGTATCGTTTGCAGCTCATTGCACAAGTCGATGTAGTTCTTGAATTACAGTTCTTACATTGATGCAGTGTCTAAAATTTCGAGCTAATGAACTTATTAAGCTTCTTTAAAGAAGAAATGAGGAAATGATATACATGTGTTTTTCAGAAGGTTGACTTTATATCAATCATAACAATTCTCTGAAATCTGGTCTTTTACGAGTGCACATTATATCTCCAAATAGTATCAGCATGTTATCTAGGTTGTCCATTTCTTTTATAAATATGCAATCATATTACATTATCTCCACTGAAAAGTATTTCCAATCTTCCTACCTGTATGCAGCAGAAATGGAGGTACTCACAATAGCTGTGCAATAAGAAGTGCGGCTATGCCAAATATATGTACCAGCGATAGTGGTCGACGTCGAACTGCACAGTGTCTTGAACCATGTCCACCTACGTCACAAGCCAACCGTCGATATGCTGCTGAGTCTCCGATGACTTCTGATTCTCATTCTAAAACTCCAGTTAACGGTTGTCTTACTAAACAGTGTACAAGTGGGAAGCCGGTGCGGGAACGAGGCACGAAAGAAGACCCAGTAACAAGGTAAGCACTGTTGTGTTTATCCGTAGCTGTTCTGCTTGTCATTCATTTTCATTAGTAGAATTTTGTATACGTTTACCTAATTACTCTTCTGTGCATATGACGTTTTCGGGCTTAGCCAGGGCAGGCTTAAATAACTTGGGTTTTCCTTCACGATTACACATTCTGTCTAACTATCCTCCTTACGAAGTCTTCATGGATTCGCTAACGATAAACTTTTTTTCTTCCTTTACGTTTCTAGGGGAACATTGGGCTTCAGGCTTGAGCTTTGAAGTTTCGGTAGCAGTTGTTTTATTTTTACGGAGTGGGTTTGCTAGCCACACGCCAAACCTTTCCTCTTTACCAGTCTTATTATCGTTTCAGTGACGTAAAGAGGTAGTCGGTTAGGGGTCAAACCCCGAACCATATGCGTGGTTGCCAAGGTTTCTGCTTCTGTGCTACCGACGCGCAACAATAATTTTCGACTACATAGGGACAACTTTTGCTAAGAAGATAGTAATTCCTTCGCTAGGTGGTAATTAAAGCCTGTACACGAAATCAAGCAGGAACAAGAAGAATTGAAGCAGTAATTTGAATATTATCACGATAATCAAATTTCAGTCAGTATATAAACGCACAATGTTTTCATGCCACTCAAACACAGAATTAACAGAAGTACGGTTAGTCGTTGTGAGATAAATGAGAACAACAAATATAATTCAAATAATAAATTAGGCCATCACATCCTCCCATATACTTCATTAGAAATCAAATCTGCATGACTCATTTCATTAATGCGCTAAGTATGTAAACGTGAGAATTTTTGAAAACATTAGCGGTTTGTATATATATATATATATATATATATATGGCTGAAAAAATTGGATAAAAAGCAAAGGAATTGTTATTATTTTCATTCCTTGGGTCCCGAGTGGAGGTAATGGTCTTAGCGACTCACTTAAATTCCTCGTGACTACTCCTAGCTGGCCATAGCAGTACCCGTCAAGCTTTCATATGCTTCACCACCATGTCATCCGCAGGCGAACAATCGTCGCTTGCCATTTAGGTTCCACTTTACAGTATGGCGCGTGATGTCACTCAATGGGCAGTTCAGTATGTTTCTAATACATCTCCATTTTCTTCTGACTAATACCTAGACAACGGGTTCTTGGTTTGTTTGCTGCTAGAGTTCCTTGTTGCTTATTCTTTTTTACTGAACATCTGATCGTCAGCATTAACCAGAGACAATTACATAGGTCAAACTAGCAGATCGGGGTTAGCTAAATTTATTGGAACGTAGAAATTTAGCTAGGCCTGGAATAAATGACCAAGTTAAATTACCTAGAAAAAAGCCCAGTCATTGAATTGCATTCACTTGCATGTAATCAGAAAATAGGGTAGGACAGGGTGAGAGTATTAAAAAGTGATAAAGTTAAGTGGAGAGAGAGAGAGTTTAATCACTGAAGCTTGGTTCATCGATTCTACACTACACACGTGCAGTCGGAATGACTCAACGCCTATACTGGAGGTATGGAGAATGGCAACAAACACCAGGGGAAAATTGGAGAGAGAGAGAGAGAAAATATGTAGGACAAACTGTGAAACTTTGTGACTAAATTGATCTGATTATGAGCAAAATATATGCGCAAAATGTCATCCAGTTGTTAATACTGCATCACTGTGTGGTATGTAAAATAAACTTACCTAATATGGAACTAAATTATGCCTCAGTACCCAAGATCTACACTTACATTGACCAAAGACAGGTTTTGGTGAAAGTCTTCAACCTGTTGCAAATGCCTTTGGTGACTCGTCAAGTCCCTAAACCATCTAAAATCACTGGCGTGATATAAGGGTGAAAATTTTTGATCTTGTTCTTTGTAGTAAGTACCAAACATTTCCACAACGATGTTGAAGTAATGAAGTGATGTCGTGATTCCTTTATCCCGGCCGTCTCTGACATCTCCATTTGTGCCGCGTGTAATTGAAGCGATTCTGTCAGCATAGGTGAGAGGACTTTCTTTAGATTTCTCCCATTGGTATTGAGTGATTTATGTCGTTTGTCACGCATCTTCATTACCTTTATCTTCTCTAGGTTCACCCGAAGTCTATTCGCTGCCTCTTCCCTCGACTTGTTGCTTAACCCTTATGTGTCTTTGAGAATTCACTACTTCTTCATATGAGTTACCCAAGACCAGGTTTAATGAACAACTTGGGTTTTAGAATGGAATTAAGTAAGATATGATCAGCAGAGAAATATTTATTACTAGTGACTACATTTCCTGTCTCTACAGTCGTACTTGTACTACCTACGCAGAAACGATTACCATGATTTTTAAAAGCGTAGGGTTGAAGTGAATTCATTAGGGAATTACAGAGGGTTACTAAAGAAGTGAATTAACATCAAAAGATTTATAATTGTTCAAGTATCGCCGAATTTTGGTGATGGTAACAATATTTAAAAGAAGACCAAGTGAAGTCGAATGAAGTCAACCTAAAAAAACATAATTAGTTCCAAGATAGAGAAAGTGATTTAGCCAAACGTTTCAGAATACACGGTTTGAGTTTTTGTTCACATATAGTTAGTGGTTCAGCAGTTGAATAACTTTAAAGGAAATCGCGTGTGGCTGAATAATCTGAATCAGGATTTTTGCAGATAAAAGACTTCGTCGTTTTCTGTTCTCCGTTCGTCGGGCGAACTGAGTACCACTCATCTATTCTTTTTCCTGAGACCTCTTTCATTCCTTTTTACGTAATATAAGTGCGGAAACGAAGTCGTTAGAAGAAAATTTATTTGTTAAACAAGCCTTCGCTTTCCCATCATAAGTAAATAAATAGGTATATTTCGTCATTTCAATGAAATAGACCAATCTTTTCTGCCTTCCTAGTATAGTATTCTTCTAGAAATGATCTTGAGTAAATTGTGCTGTTTCTGTCTTTGTGCAGATAAATTCTCTGGGTGTTTAATATCTGATTGTTCCGAACTTTTAAAATAACCTGTAAGCATAGATGACAGCATACTTTTGAAACAAGATCATTCGCATAAATCCGTAATATTTTTTTTGATGCAGCAAAAAAGTACGTGTTATTTAGGAGAACTGAGAAATAAACCCATCTAATATTAAATTACATTCTACCACAAATTGCAAATTTTACAGTTACATTAATGTCGGAAAGTATCACACACTCATTTATTACGACTGATAACCGGATAGTCAAATTGCATCATTATTGTAATAATTTTTGCTTTGGTGTATATTTGATGTACTATTATTATTTACAACTGTATTTTATTCCTACGTGATCGCCGTAAATGTGATTCCTAATAGTGCATAATACCATTAATCGCATACTCTTACAGCAAACTTTTGTTAATGTTTTTCTGATAGATTAGAAAATAATGTTCGACGCCTCCGCTGTGATGTACAGTCCATGCGTGCATTAGAAACCCAACTGCGTAACCAGCTTGAAAATCTACAACGTGATGATCGTCTTAATCGGCTCAGCTTGTCTAACCAACGGCAAGAAAATGAAGCCTTGTCATCGCGTATCTCGAAGTTAACTAACAGGTGTCGAAATGAGAAAGCAAATCTAAACAATGTGGAGCAGAGTCTAAATGAAGAAATTCGTTTACGTCAATTAGTTGAAGCTCAGCTCACTGAAATGAACGTAATTCCAGTGTGCAATATATCCAAGACAAATAGTAATATTTCATCTAGTAGCTCAACCGAACAGAGTACTCCAACATCCGTTGCTGCTATTCAGTAAGTACTTTACTTTCAAAATTTACACTAAGTTCTTTGGACACTGACACGAATCATTACTTCATTATTGTAAGAGTGTGTCGGTAGCACAGTGGTTAGGACTCTCGCCGACCATGCACATGGTCCGAGGTTCGAACCCCCGCCGACGCACACCTGATATCTATGGTCGGCCTGCAAAACTTGGGCTACCGATATCCATGCTGAAAATTCCACACTTGTACCAAAAATACAGTGTGGAATCAAGCTGTAAATCAAAAAAAATATAAAAAAAAAGTTATTGTAGTACTAAAAGCAGTTAACCGGATCATATATTTGTGTTTTAATTGGGTGAATTGTGCTGGAGACAGGAAAAAAGCATTTCTACTGATATAGACATTAGTAAAATATCCCATTCTCATATTCCATCAATATATGGTTTCTTCCATATCACGAGGCTCTTTGTCCGATGTTTCCTTTTTCATTTCCTGTCACAGAATCAATCCATTTTATGGTTTCTTCAATGCGATTTTCCATAAACCAGCTAAGAATAATCAGTATCTAATCAACAACTTCCGTGGTGTTCTGAAGTTGTAATCATCTGGCGACTTAGAGAATAAGGTTCATAGCAAGAACTCTGGTGTCTTCAACCGAGAAGTTTAATATCTTTTCCTCAAAAATAAGAAAAGATTTTTCAGCTGTATAATCGACAGAAAACATTGCGAACTAATGATATGGATGTAATAACAATAACTGTTACCCAAGAACTAATTTCACTTACATACATTTGTAATTAAGACACTCACAAGGACTGCTGATTCTACGTGATAGGCGGAGCGATTTTGTAACCTAGATCCAAATGGTTGGAAGCTAAACTAAAGTTAGAAGATGGTCAGACCAAAACATGGCACGGATCTACGGAGTCTGTTACTACTGGTTTGAGCCACTTAGAAATGTGTTCACTATCAGTCTGGGGTCTTCAAGATGCTAAGAATAATTGGTTAGAGACTGTTATTGACATGGCGTAGATGTGTAACAACAGAAGACAAGAGCTAGGCAACATATCGTTTATTAAGGAAATCAACACACATAGATTTTCATGTACATATTATAGATTATTGTTAGCAGAAAAACACAGTCCTCTGATTTGTTGTTTCTCACAGAAAGTTAACCTTGCATCTCTTTGTGGCTGTTTCTTGAATATCAGATCATCTATATGTTAACTGTATTCGCCTATGCAAAGCCTTTGTTCTCATTTTCCTCACGACCAATATTGCGGACATAAACATTGACGTAAATTACTGTCCACTAATTTTGGCTAAGAAGCAGGTCTCACCACAGATGTATCTGGTTATGATCACTTTACATTCTCAAAAAATCATCATTAATCTTTATCTGGTTCGTATTTTTCTCGTAAATCTTCGTCTTTTATACTTTCTGCTTTTCTTTTCTTTACGTCTATAACTTTTTCCGAACCATGGAATCCCGAATTGATACACTTTTTTGCAAAGTTGTATGTTCATAAATCAGTCACAGATGTCTCAGTACGCTCATTCACTAATTATATTCCAAAATGGTCTATAGATCGTTAAGTCGGCAGTTTTGGATCCGACCTTAATATTAAGAAGTTAGAATGAATCCAACAGAAGTACATATTCTCTGTCGATAGCTTAGGTTATTTATATTTTGCAGGTTGCTGCAATCAAGCAGTACTTATTTTGACGTTACTTCCCATAAGGCATATAAATGAATGCATATGTGATTTAGGATCTGTCAGTCATATACTCGATCTCTTCTTGAAATTTTTAGCAGGCCTGTTAAGTTTTGCGAACATACGTGAAATTATAATTGAAGTCACAATTCCAAACTCATTTATTGCAGATATAACACGATGATCTGTGATGTCTATGACATTTCAAACACAACTATCCTTCATAATCATATCAATTGTAACTATGCAACTTCGAAGCTCCATTTTCATATTTCTCACTCTTCTTTCCTATTTGTCGTAAGGATAGTAGAATTTTCTATATATCTGGAATAGGGGTTAAGTCACTCCTATTGCAAGTATTCCCAGTTTGTTTGTTAAAGTTTCGGTTCCAATCTCCCTCCACTCTATTACATAACGTTTTAGGACTGTCCCATTCTATTATATGGTTATGCGTAACTCCATTTACTGCAATGGACCAGTTTTTTCTAGATTTCTTATCTTACTAGGGTCCACTAGTTTACATTTGGTCGACCTTTTATGATAAGCTAACCTGCTTATTACAATGAAACAGTAATTTTCAATGGCACAGTTGTTTATCTGACAAAACTATATAGGGTGAAATATAGAAGTCTTAAATTGTACTTTCAGTTTGTGAAAAGTATTCATATTCGGCTTCTTTTGTCATCATTTCATGATTTGTATATTGCTGCATAGTTATCTTCATTTCCCTTTGTAAGTTAATTCATCGCCCCGTTACTCAAGATTTTGACAGGCTGTCACGAATATACTGCTTAATTACACGTCATATATTACCTCTCCTACAAATTTGACCTCAGTCGTTTAAAGACATACTAGATTATTCTGTCTAAAAGGATGAACATCATCCTGTAACCAACGTAGATTGTTCCTGAGTAAGTTTATTGGTTCGAATGCCACTTTTATTCTTTCCTTTTTAAAAACCCTACGTAAGCTTTCATAGGTCCTCTCTTTGATGGCACTACGGATGTTTTGAATTCCTCTTTGGGGTTGTCATCTGTCTGTATGCGTTTGTTCTTATTTTTATTCGCATCTAATATATACTCCCAGTTCAATTTATCAGGGTACTTATTAAGTTCCGCAGCTTCTCGTATGTATCCTTCACACTTCATAATGCTAATCCGATACAGATTTGAATCTAAAGATTTGATTTCATTAATGTTTCAATCATTGAATCATCATTAGCTCACTTTCCTTCGCTTGATATTGCTCAATTGAAGAGCATGCAAAATCTTCAGTGCTCACCGGTTTCACGAAAACTCATTCCGGGAGATAATTGGAAAAAAAATTGTTGTACGTTAAGGCATGCTGTTATGCAGTTTGGCACGACAATTCAAAAAGGAGTTGACCTATGAGAGTTTCTACAAACGCATATGCATTTATACAACATATGTTTGGGATGTGATCTTATGTTTATTTTCTATCAAGACTTGGGCACTTTTTTCCAATAAATACACATGAAGTTGCAGTGTAGAGGCGAAATGAATTCACTGAGTACTTTTTGTAATTTTATTGTGGTAGTCTGACAGTTATCAACATGATTTTGACTGGTTTTTCACTAATTATAGGCAGTTAGGTTATTAGATTGGAAGGGGACTTTATCGAAAAGTATGGTTTTCTACAAGAAGGTGGTATTGATTCTTGAAAAGTGGTGACATAGTAGAGGTTGAAATTCAATATTTCTACCTTACACTTTTGCTTTCTCGTTGATAAGAAGCCATCAGGCTAAGATGATGATAAAGTACAGGGGCTTGTGAAGAGTTTGAGCGAACCGGTTGAATATCTTCGGTATGTAAGTTGCCTTTGTCAAATGTAAGAGGATTCTGCAGAAGCAGTGCAAACCAGCTCCCAGTTACATGATATAGGGAGTGGAATGGTTGAGCTGACCAGTCTGTCTGTCTGGATTCAACATAGAACTTGGCACCGAAGTGCAGCAGTTCGAGTTGCCACGTTCCAAATAGCACACAGAAGTAGACAAGAAGATGAGTGAAGAGAATCAATACAGTCTGACAAGTATAAGAGTGAAACAGAATGGGTAATGGTAGAAAGGAATATGAAAGATTACAGAGACTGAATACATCTGCGCTGGCCATTGACAACGATTTTGAGCCATGTCACCTATTGTCTCCAGCCATTGATTCCTAGAGTCCCGAGGGCCCCAACCCGGAAGTCTGCATCTCCCTACCTGACTCAGTTTAACTGTCAAGGACTTCATGGATTGATGCCATGTTTTTGTTTGGCCACCACTTACCCTTTTCCAACCTGAACCTATATCAGCTAGTAATGCCCGTCGGGGGAGGCGATGGTTAGGCATGCGCAGCACGTGACCTAGCCATCTCAATCTATGTAACTTTATAGCCTCGTCGATTGATTTCCCCTCTTTGCCCAACACTCTACGCCTAACGTCAACATAACTTACCTTGTTAAACCACCTAACGTGAGACAGAGATCGCAGACATCTATGATCGAAAGCAGTCAACCTTTTCATGTCTTCAACTCGTATTGGCCATGTTTCAGAGCCATAGAGAAGGACGGAGCGAACTGCTAAGCAGTACACACGTCCCTTGGTTGATAACCGAATGTCACGCCTACGCCAGAGGTGGTGTAAGTCAGCGAAAGTAGCTCGAGCTTTTTGGATCCGTGCTGAGATTTCATCGCCAATCAATCCGTTGGTGCTGATACAACTTCCCAAATAGGTGAAGTGGTCAACATGTTCTATCACTTCACTCCCTATCACTAAGTTAGGAGTTGACGTGGTCCAGTCCTGTAGCAGCATCTTACATTTTGTAGGGGCGAATCGCATGCCAAACATACGAAGATTGCTGCTCAAGGTGTTCAGAAGACTCTGCATTTTGTCAGCATCCTCCCCTAACAGGACTATGTCATCTGCATATTCTAAGTCCATAAGACTATTCCCTGGTAACAAGTCGATTCCTAAGTCGTTAAGTTCAGTTAAGGATACTTCCATTAGCATATCTATGATGAAGTTAAACAGGAATGGGGAAAGTGGACATCCCTGTCGGACACCACTGGTTGTTATCAATTCAGATGACAATTCCCCATAAGCCCTTACACGGCTACATGAGTTTGAATAGAGTGCCTTGATTAGTGCAATGTACTTTCTTGGCACTCCCTTCACAGTCAGACATTGCCATAGTACCTTTCGATCCACGGAGTCGAAGGCCGCCTTCAAGTCAAGCTGACCGTAGGCTTGTTTTCAGGGTTACACCAGCTCAAGTGAACTGAATGCAGACCAAAATGAGCACATAAACAAAAGGGTCATTTGACAAACATTATGTTTGGTGTTTGTGTGATATCGGGATACCAATGTAAAGCAAACGTGTGTACTGTATAGCGGTTCGTTTCATCCTACTTTATGGACTTAAGACACGGTTTTTGAAGATTTAAGCTAGACATGAAGAGATTAGGAGTTTTCGACGATGGGTGCCTCTGTTCAACCCTCACACTAGATGGAGTGATATGGTGAGTATTAGTGAAGTTGTTGTCAGATCGTGAGTAAAAAGGGAAAGCTAACCAATGAATGTGCAGATGCATTCACTCGTTGCTGACTGACGGGTAAATTGCCGATTGGTTGAATTTTGTAGAATTTTTGTCTGTATTTAAGATGAAAAAACTTGGTAGTTTTGTTGCTTGGATGCTAAAAGGAATTGAATTGTGAATCTTGTGTATATTTTGAAATATATGTGGACATTTAACGGTATGCTATTTGAATCGACTTACGAATTAAAATATGCAGTTGTTATTTTATTAAGCACAACTCGAGTCAAGGGCATGAATCGTATCGAGGATACTACCTCATTTTTATTGGTTTCTTTTCTAAGTTCTTGAATATTTGTACAAATGGCTTTCTCTACTGCCGTATGTTTTTCTGAAAAAAGCGCAGTTCATGTTTTTATTTATTAAAATATATAGAAATGCAGGCGAAATTCGTTTTAATTCTCGTTGCCTTTTTTAATTGTTTCAGAGAATCCGCTAGTAATGAGGTAGCAACCAATGCTGATACAATACTTCAGCAAAATGATGCTCATAATGTTATGAATAATTATTGCTGTAAATTGCGTCAGCTTCTTGAATCAAAACTTTATACACTTAGATTAGCTATCAAGCATCGTGAAAATTTAACACTAGCCTCTCAAATGAGTCCTTCTGACCAATTGACAAAGAAATGTTTAACCAATATCAGTTCAAAAACAGTAGTGACGTCGGCGTTAATGGCGGTTCTCACCAGTATGAACCACATTCGTCGACATCTAAACTTCAGTCGGGGCATTTAGCAGGCAAAGATACTTGTTGTAGAATTTTGAGTTCTGAGGATAAAAATGCTAACGGCACGAGTAATAATCATGAAACATCGACAAATAAACATAGACATGCATTTTTAGAAAACTGTTTTAATTTAGCAAATGAAGAAAGAGAACGCTTAGCGAGTAATTTACGAACGGAGAACTGGCAGAAACAAGAGTTGCTCACATTATACCACACATCTGTACGAGAAATAACTGAACTAAACAGTAAGTGTTTTCCACCTTATTTTCACTTGTTGGTTTAATAGCACAGATTCCGAGATTCATTATATATTTGGTGAATTGCAATCCGCATAATAAAGAAGATTTGTAGCTTAGGTGGATGACTCTGATGCATTCGTGTTCTCTAAGCTGGATGGTTGCGAAGTTCTCGTTGCAACATCTTCAGTGCTTACTTCAATTTGAGTTGAGCTTTGCGATTTCTCTACGAATATTTTAGTCATCTCTCCTGGCAACCTCGAACATGACTGGTTGCTGTTGTCTGTCTCTACACCCTCTAGTTTATTTATATTGATATTGATTGTTTCCTTGACCTGAAGTTTGACTTTTTGAGCATTAGGTTTTCCTCTCATGAACTGGTAAATTTTTTCTAATCAAATGTGCCTTTTAATTACCGATTCACTGGAATACCAGGCTTCCAGAAGCTCTCTGGCGTTCTTGGTGTTTCCTCTTCCTATCATTCGAAAGCTATTCCAATCGAAATGCTGTCCGTGTTTGTCTGTATGCAGAGATATAAGGGAGAGAATGTCATGTCTTCTACAGTTAGTGTGTGATCATGGATACAAAGAATTACAGGGCTTCCACTTTGGCTAATGTAGTGTTTTCCACAATCGTCGCAATTTATTTTGTAGATGATGGTTTATGAGAGACATCAATTTCTACAGGTTTGAAGAAGTCATGCAGTGATTTCTGAGACGTCCTTGATATATGTAAGATGACTTTCTTTGTGTGACTAATAAACTCGTGGAGAAATCTAAATGCTCACTTCATACTGAAGTATGCGCTGAAGATGTTTCCTAGTGGAACAATGAAGGCCTCACAAATGAATCATCCAGCTCAGACAACACAATTGCATCAAAAAATATTAATCCATTAAATTTGGATCATAAGGAGTACTACTTTTATATTACAGAAAAAGTCATTAAGTGGAACTAACAAATTTCACTACTTTCGCTAGATAAGATCGAGATTTCAGGGACGCTGCCAGCCTGTTTGCGCGTGGTTCACTGGATGACAGTCTCTATCAGGATCAAATCTCGTGATCCTATGCGATTGATTGTTATTATCCGACCTGCATGGTAGCTATTGTTGCACCTATTCACGAACACCCTACTCAACTATCGTTCTTTTCAAAATTCACCTAATTCCATTAGGATTAAAGATTTCAAGTGTCCCATTTGTTGAGTTCGATGCATTAAATGTTTCACTGCATAAAGGCCACGACTGGCTTATTATTGTGATGTTACTTCATTTTCTACTTTCCACGCAGCACATTTGGAATGTAAACTTTTTACATTCCCAATTGTTTACAGGCAACCACAGCATCAATAACACTTTATTTTTGACTTGTGCGTGCGTTTTCTCATATTTATTTGGATTCCTAATTCCAATATTACATCATGACAATCGGAGATTGTAGAATTTCCTTTGCTTTGAACTATTTCATTATCCCCACTGCTCGTACACTCAAGCTAATCGGCACTAAAAGTAATTGCATTATTCAAAATTTTTCGAATGATAGTGTACATAAAATATTCCTTGCACGCTTTCATCTTTTGTGGTTTCACAATCTGATATATGGCAGCTCTCAATGGTGCATGTAGTCTTTTATGTGATAAGTGATGGTCAATGAGATGCATTCACTATTTATTCACCACTGTGATCGGTACTATTCGGACTGAATCTTAGGAAGCTGTCATGCGATTATCCGAATGTTTACAGGTCTATCCTCTAAGTGTGTCATAGTATGGTTGAATACATCTGGTATTAGACAGCAAAAGCTATTAATACGTCCACCTTTTCTGTAATGGAAATATTATCCAACAAAACTTATTGTTCACTGAAACATATCATGTAATGAACATACTTGAAAGCTACTTTAGATATTCTCTATGATTATTATTTATAATAATAATTATTATTAAGTCCCGAGTGAAATACAGTGCCTTAGCATCACATCTCCATTTAGTCATTTTTAGTCGGCTCGACGATTGGCCATAAGCTCTCATCTCCTCATATATCATTGGTCTGCCTGCGAAATTTGGGCTACCGATATCACATGCTGAAAATTCCATACTTGTACCAAAAAGTACTGTGTGGAATCAAGCTGTAATCAAAAGAAAATCTATATCATCCCCAGATGCCAAGTTGTCGTTTATTATTTGCGTTCTATTCGAGAACCGAGTGCATGATGTTACTCAACACGTGTCCCATTCGCCTCCGATTTCTTCTCTGACAGCCGAAAAAATAAGTAAATAACCATAAATTGCTTATTTTTGGCCATAGATCAGCTATTTGAAACCCATCGGTTAAAAGAAATACCTCTGAGAGAGGTTACAAAGTGGCATTCGTATATTAAGAAGTCGAGATAGTTTTGCGTTGCGGAAAACATTTTTCTGTTTTCTACCTGTTAAACTCAATTTGCAGTAGTCTGGCAATACGCTAATTCAGATTGCTATATGTGATAAGCAATAAGGCGACTAAGATTCACCAACAAAAATAACATCTGAAAATTCACTCTTAATGCATAATATGTCGTCAAAGTAAACCGGCCATAGATAATGAAGAATATATATTCAGTTTGGTTTATAAATGTTCCAGTTGCATTCAAAGACTTTTATCGACACAACAGACACATTTGGAAATAACACGTGTGTTATAACTGACTATCTTAACCAATAATTTGTAGTTGAACAGCATAACTCATTAGTCATCAGCTTAGTGTTTCGATATCATACTTGTTTTAGTTGTTTCAAAATTTTCAATTTTGGAAGAATCTTATAAATATAGGTGCAGTAATATTTACTAGCTAATCGAAATTTTACCTATCCCTCAAGTGCTTCGACTCAGTTTTTCTCAATGGTTTTTAATATTGTACATATGCTTACTATTTGTAAAATTCTCTGAACACAACTGTTGTAAAAGTTATCTTACACACTTGTCATTTGCGTTCGTTTGAGTGAATTTTGAGTTGTATTTCATTTTGCTGAAGTGTAGAGTCTGTTTCTATTTCCTCTTTTTTGTTTGTAGAAACGCTTAAACAGCGTGACTTACAAATTCTTGAGCTTACGGTGAAAATAGAACAACTTGAGTGTTTACCAAAGGCTACTAAAACATACGATTCTGTCAGTCTTGGTGGATATACTGCGATATCAGCAGCAACAACAACTCAGTCGCCGTCTAATTTGTATACTGATTATTTCCCGACAGGAGATAAAGATTTCAACTATGATAAACAACAGGTAAATATTTGAGATCAAAAATTCTTCGATTTTCTTATCGTCTTCATTCGTTTCACACTAAGAAATAGTTTTTTTTTTCTTCAGTTGTTTGTTTGTGTGACTGGGAAATTGTCGTATAAGTTTGGTTTGTTTCCGTATCACATATTTTAAGGGTATGTAAGGAAAACATCCCATAGTTCTGGTGTAACAACAGAAGACAAGGGCCAGGCAACAGATCGTTTTATTATGAAAATCAACACGTATTTATACATCTTTCAACTACATTATTATAGACAATCGCAGTCATCTGATTGGTTGTTTAGGTAGACAAACGCAGGCTTCTGATTGGTTGTTTCGGGATTCCTTGACAAATAGAGTTCTCTCTGCGAATCATATTCTGCCACGTTAACTTTGCTGTGATTGGTTGTTGACTCAGGCTTGTTCATATTTTCTCACGGCCCATATTAGTGACCTAGACCTTAACGTAGATTAGTGCCAACCAATCGGCTAGCAGCCTGCTCTCACCACACTCGTCCCCCCGTCAAATACGTGCGACTGAAGTCGGCTTGATCTACTTGGTGCAGGCGTCATCGTTGGCTTGTCTCGCTGTATCCATTTCTGGAGCTCGCTGACGTTCACGCGCCTCTCATTGTTCGCCATTGCGACTGTGTCTGCGTAACCCCATCTCGAAGTGACCATATATGGTCCTTCCCACTTTGGAAACTGTTTGCCTGACCCTGTCGAACATTCGTCCATACTTCGGCCGACACCTTCATATGCTGCTTTCGCCCGACCTCCCAGCAGCGTCTCAAGTAGCAGCTCCATCGCTGGCAGATCTTGAACGCCACTCAACAGCGCAGAAGCCTTGAAGTCCTGCCCGAAGATCCATATGTCTCCATCAAAAACAGCAGGGCATAGGCTTTCCATTTGTCGGTAGGCAGCGACACCAAATGTAACAACAGAAGACAAGGGCCAGGCAACAGATCGTTTTATTATGAAAATCAACACGTATTTATACATCTTTCAACTACATTATTATAGACAATCGCAGTCATCTGATTGGTTGTTTAGGTAGACAAACGCAGGCTTCTGATTGGTTGTTTCGGGATTCCTTGACAAATAGAGTTCTCTCTGCGAATCATATTCTGCCACGTTAACTTTGCTGTGATTGGTTGTTGACTCAGGCTTGTTCATATTTTCTCACGGCCCATATTAGTGACCTAGACCTTAACGTAGATTAGTGCCAACCAATCGGCTAGCAGCCTGCTCTCACCACACTGGCAAAACATTGAGCTGACATGTTTTGGTTATTAAAGCAGTTAAAATGGTGTAGATCAACACAATCCTAGGTTTCTTCGTTACATTATCTGCACATCTATCTTCAATGATATTCTTTGTGATGATACACTATATTTTGAAATTTTTAAAAACCCATACTAACTTATTTGCCTGAAACGATTTCGTTAAATTAATTTTCGATGTAGTTTTCATTTTGGTTCTTTGTGGAGTCAAGCATAGAGTGCAGAAAACATCTTTCTACAATGAATCTATGACTGTTCTAATTTGCTTCTGACAATATGGTTAGCTTTCATTGCGTTTGTCAGTAATGTGTCATCGTCAACCGATGCTTCTATATCTTTTCTTTCAACAGCAAGATTTTGTTAGGACTTTATGTATGAAGCAAAAATTTATCAAGAATTATGTTGCCTTTATAACAGCAGCTTTAGAATAATTATGGTTTGCCTAATTATTATTGATATGTGTTGTAGTACAATGGTCAGTGAGGAAAACGTTTTGCTCGTGTCATGACTTGCTCACCGATTTCCATCTCCATGTTTGAAGTTTTTATGAAAGGTAAGCTAACTGTTAACTTAGTCAGTATTGCAGTCGTAATACTGATGATAAACTACTTTTTTTCTACTTTGAATATTTAGATTTCATCAATGCTGTCAGGCAATTCCGATATAGTATTTTCTGGCGCTTCTACGAACACACTTGAGAGCATGTTTATTCACCCCACTTCGGGAAAGTATGATCATAATAATAATGGTTACTCACAAAATCCTAGATTTTGTGTAACGTCACCTACGCCACCAATAGCTTCATTCACCAATCTGACAGGCTATCACTACCCTAAAAGCTCTGACCAGGCAACTTACCGCTATAAAACTAAGCAAAATCATCATCAGATTCTTTTTAGAGGTAACACTAACCATGGATGCTCTTCAACTGCACATTTTAATACTAACCTGTCATCGTCTTGTGTATTGCCATCTGAAACCTGTTCTTCCTCATCTTCATCGTCTTCTTGTTCATCAAACGCCAACTACTCAATGCATAGAGATATGCAAATATTTAATAATTATAAAGAAACACCTATAGTCACATCACTTTCTGGTGGTTGTTTAACTGCACGTCAACAGAAGGACCAAAAACAACAGCAAAATTTAGCTGCTGATGCAACCTAATTATTATTATTATTCATATAATTATTGTTATTATTATTACTACTACGATAAAGCAATTTTTAAATAAATGTATCGCTTACCTCTGAGTAAGTATACACATCCATACCAAAATACATTGTTTTGCATCTCTTCGCTAGTCGTCTACCCGAGAATACGGTCTGTGTTTTACAGTGTTTTTTGTGTAACGTTACAATGTGACATGGACTCAGCCAGACACAAAAGAATTAACAAATCTACTATACAATCTGTAAATAAACACCTACTTCATTATAGCAATTTTTCGCGCGTTATTATCGCCTGAATAACAGTTCCTATTGGTTTTAAAATTCGTCAAACAAAAATAAAAATTAGTTAGGGTTACTGTTTGTGTCACCAAAATGTGATGAATAAACAAAATTGTAACTCATCCGCTTTGTTGAGACATCCTCTTTGCAACTGAAAAATAGGTCTAGAAATGTGGTTGATTGCAAATTTCTTCCTCACTTGTCAGGTTGGTAGATTTTTTCGCCGAGTTAACGGTATTCAGCTGACTGATTTCATTGTCATACTTATCGACATATAACGATGATATCATCTCTTATAGAAAACACCTTGACGGTAAAGTCACCAGACAGATTTTCAATGTATGACAAACGCATTAGTCAATAAAAGTCCTACTGGACTCAGCGCAATGCTGTCCATTTGTCGAAAGTGAATTAAAGGCTGTCAAGCTGGATAGACTGATCTCACTGTACCTGTGTGGGGTTGATATTCTAGTTCTGTGATTGCATGGTATAATATCTAGTCAGCTGTAGAAACAATGGCAGAGGTTTCAGATAAGCTGAAATTAGAATTTAACAATAGTCTGTGGATTTCTATAAATTCATGCAAATTGATAGATACGAAAAGACTAATTCTACTTCACTGCAAACATGAGGAGTGAAAGCTATTGAAGTGAAGATTGGAAAAAAGTCTCGTTAAAAGTAGTAGGCGACAACCAGACAGTACTTTAGAGAAACGGGTTGCATTAAAACAGTGATAAGAGCAACTGTTTTTGAGGGAGACAATACTTTAATTACCTCTCAGAAGAGATCAATAAAACGGAGTGAACACTTAAAGGAGCAGTCCAACTGGCCTCCTGCAATGCTGAATTTGCACATCGTCTAACAACTACATAATGGTATTTAAACATTAGCTCCCTAAACTGTAAGTGAGGTTGCGATTCATGTTTCTGATCTAAAATAAACCATTTGGACGTGATGGTACCACTTGTTACCAGTAGACAATCTCATCGTACTAGGTGAGAACACTGACAAAATGTACAGTGTGCAGAGAAACGGTATTATTTACTGGATGACGTTTCGAACAAAATTTAGTGTTCATAATCATATCAATTATAATCAGACGACTTCGAAACTTGAGTTTAATAGTTTTCTTTGTTCTCCTATTTGTCGTAGGGGTAGTAGAATTTTCCAGATATCTGGGACAGGTGTTGAATCACTCCTGTTACATGTATTTGCAGTTGATTCGATAAACAAAGCTTCTGTTATCAATCTCTCCCTCCACCCTGTGACATTAGATTTTGAAACTGTCATCCTATCCCATCCTATTGTATGGTTGGGTGTAACTGCATATAGTAAGTGCTATAGCTGAACTACTCTCTAGATTTCTTATCTTATTCGAGTCAAATGATCTAGATTTTGCTAGGATTTTATGTTCAGCTAATCTGACTGACCCTGTACTACTAATTTGACCTGCAATCATTGCAGGTAAGGTATTAGATAAACTAAATTGTTTTGTTTTAAAGGCTCCATAGGATTGATTCTTTAACCGAAAAAGCTTGTTTCTAATTGAGTTTGTGGGTTTGTATGCTACTTTTACTCCTGCTTTGTTAAAAATTCTGCGTAAGGTTTCCGAGATTACTTCCTTGAACGGAGTTACTACTTATGATTTAGATTTCTTATTGTCGGTGTTGTCATGCGCATATTTGACATGCATGTCGTCATTAATACCACTATTATTATTACTTTTGTTACTATCCCTATCACTACTATCATTATTTATTTTATTATTATATCTCCCTACATACTGTCTGACCAAATTATCAGGGTAATTATTAAGTTTCAAAGCTTCTCTTATATTGCTCACTTCCTGTATAAAATTTTCCTTGGTACTACTTAGTTTTGTAATCTATTACTTAAACATTTTACCAATCCTATTTTCACTGACATAGGATGGGATGATCGGAAATCCAAATATCTGTTTGAATATGCGGGCTTCCTGTAAACACTAGTGTTTAACTTCCAATCTCCTCTCTTTTTTACGCAGTAATCTAGCATTGGAAGCTCCCCTTCCTGACTTTCTAATTCATAAGTGAATTGAATTGCCTCCACTTTTTTTAGTTATTGTGTGAAAAATTCTACTACCCCTACGACAAATAGGAAAAGACAAAGGAAACTATAAAAACCTACTGTTAGCAATTGCTCGTTATAGTTCCTTTGAGTTTTCATTTTTGGATACTTTCTCCAAATCGTATATAGGGTGTGGCAACTTGAACTGTTTCACTTGTATGCAAATTTACACGGCGAAGTCTCAGTCTGTCAACCAGTATTATTAGACAGGTAGGTCGGTGTGATCTAGCATGTATCGTGGCTGGCTTTTTTGATTGTTACCTACGCCTTCAAGCAGATGAAGTCCTAGAGGCTATGAACGGATTTTGTCTTACTTTGGCACTTCCAAAAGCACACGAAGCCTTCCTAAGCATCATTCTCCTCTAGCCACATCACCACCATCTAATTCCCCTACTACAGTTAGTACTATTCTTCATGTTAGTGAGGCACCTTCATTTCACTCTGTGACCACAAATAACGATGAGAGCCATAGAAACACCCTAGATAGCCTTTTAAAGCCACATCGCCAACTTCATATAGGAGGATATAACGTCAGAACCCTCTGCCAAATGGGACAACAGGCATCACTAGCAAGAACTCTGGCATCTAGAGCTAGGATGTATGTTGTTTCATTTAACCTCACCCGGTCAAATGTGAATCTACAAAATTCACTTTAAGGGTGTCAGGAGACCCCTCAGCTAGTTCGCGAGCACTCATAGGTGTATGGATAGCAATGAGTGTTATGGCAGAAAAATCACTTCTTAACTGGATCATAGTAGATAGTCGTATGGGTGTGGCCCGTCTGAATGGGTCCGTTAGAAGAAGCCAGGAATGCGTTACCCGTCGTCTTTTCGTAATTTCCGCTTACGCCCCAGCAGACTGCAGTTCGGATGAACTAAAGGATTACTTTTACCTGAAACTATCTAATTTGCTGCAAAAACCAAAACGTTTAGATATAGTTGTTTTAGCAGGCGACTTCAATGCCCAAGTAGGGAAGGTGTGCCAGACTGAGAAGTACGCAGTTCGTACATATAGAGTTCCCTGCCGACTAACCAACAATGGTAATCGTCTTCTACAGTTTTACTCAGATAATCATCTGTTCCTAGTCAGCACTAACTTAAGGCACAAAGAGAGACCTTGCATGACCTGACGACCTCCATCCAATCAACGCTGGACTCAGATAGACCACATAGCCATGGGGTATCGTTGACGAGGATCAGTAGAAGACTGCTGCTCCTTTTGGAACACGTGAGTAGACTCCGACTACGCTCTGGTCCGTGCACCTTTATGCTTACGACTAAACGGACATAAGAAATTGATGGAAGCGAAACAATTACGTCCCCAAGTAGATCGAGACACCGAGTCCCTATTTAAGGAGGGAATAGCGAAACGAGTGTCCGAGGTCAACAGCAGAACTTCCCCTGAGGTAGCCTGGTACAACATACAGTTAGCTGTAGGCACAGCTGTAAAAGCTATTAATTAGCTAAAATCAAAAGTTAGTAAGAGCCATTAGATCTCCACCGCCTCTTCCAAACTTATTGACGCGAGAAGACTGATTCCGGCGAGCTCCAGATATGACGAAAAGCGAAAGCTACTTAAACGCGAACTAACAAGAAGTCATCGTGACGACCATGTATGGTGGTAGGCGAGAAAAGCGAACGAGATGGAAAAGGCATCGCCGACTGGTAACACCAGAAAACTATTTAGGCTTATCAGGGAAACAGGTGGTAAAAGGCAAATGATAAGTGAAACAATCTCTGAGAAGAATGGCACCATAATTAGCTCCCAGGATAGACGACCGGAACGCTGGAAACAACATTATGAGGAACAGTTTAATTGGCGTAGAGCCACGCTCAACCTTCCGACCATCCAACACCTCCCAGAATGGGATATAGACACAGGTCCTCCGTCCCTAACTGAGGTTACTTAAGCTGTCACTAGTCTGAAACAAGGCAAAGCAGCAGGACCCGATGGAATGACTCCAGAGGTGTTTAAGAATGGTAGAGACAGTTTGCTGTCTGCGTTAACTAAAGTCTTAGACAGCCACTGAGAATCAGAGGAAGTCCCGTCGGGTTGGTGTAAGTCATTGATAATTCCGATATACAAGAAGGGGGACAAGTCTTCCTGTGATAATCACATGAGGATTAGCTTGACTGATATGGTATATGAAGTTCTAGGCTCAATAATAATGCGTAGACTAAGTGGTGCTCGGGAGACACGAACACGAGAGAACCGGGCAGGCTTTAGACCAAGAAGAGGTTCTATTGATCATATCTTCACCCTTCGACAGATTCTAGAACACAGGCATTCCTACTGGCGTCCAACAATCATTATAATTCTTGACCTGAAGGCGACATTCGTTTCTGTCGACCGAGATATACTCTGGCGATGTTTGACTGTAAAAGTTTGCACCGATTAAAGCATTCTACTCGAAGTCATGCAGCCAGGTGAGGACTTACGACGAGTTGTCATCTTAACTGGTGACAACTAGTGGTGTCCGTCAAGGATACCCATTATCCTCGTTTCTATTCAACTTCATCATAGATGCACTGATGGATTTAACCCTAACTCACTTTAGAGACACAGGGATTGACTTGCTAACAGGGAATAATCTTGTTGACTTAGAATATGCAGATGATATAGTCCTTCTAGGCGAGGATCCTGACAAAATGCAGTCTTCTGAACACCTTGAGCTGTGATCTACGAATGTTTGTCATGCGATTCGCTTCCGCCAGATGTAAGATGATGTTACAGGACTGGATTACACTGACTCGTAGTTTAGAAATACGGGGTGAAGCGGTAGAGCACGTTGACCACTTCTCTTATTTGGGAAGTACCATCAGCCAGTCCCAACGGGTTGATCTCTGACGAAATCTCAACATGGATACAGAGGCCTAGTTTCGCATATGCCAGTTTACGCCGTCTCTGGCTTAGACGAGATATCCGACTATCGACCAAAGGGCGGATGTACTGCTCGGCACTTCGCTCCGTCCTCTTTTATGGCTAGCTGTGAGACCTGGCCATTGAGAGTGGGAGACATAAAAGGATTAGCTGTCTTCGACCACAGATGCCCGCGCTCTATCTCCTGTGTGAAGTGGTATAATAAGGTGAGCAATATTGAGGTCAGACTTCGGTCGAGTTCTAGGTAAGGAGGGGAAATCAATTGACGAGGCTGTGGAACTACATCGACTGAGATGGGTAGGACGTGTGTTACGTATGCCTCGCCATCGATCGCCTTCCTCGACGGGCAATGTTACCTGACATAGGGTCAGGCTGGAAAAGAGCTAGCGGCGGTCAAACCAGAACATGACACCAGTCAATTGAATATACAACAGTTAGTTTAAGCCAACCACGTAGGAAGGTGTAGACTTCCCGGTTGGTGTCCTCGGGATGGTAAAAACTAATGGTTGGAAACAATTGGTGATTGGCTCAAAATCGTTTTCAATGGCTGGCGCAGATGCATCCACTCCCTGTGACTTATGATTTCCGATGAAACTGTTTTGTTCTTCGTTATTACTATTCCTTTTCCTCACAGCCCTGTTTACTGTCTCCATTATGCATTTCTACTTTTTTCTCTTGCTTTGTGTGCTACACGGAGGGAGTGTGGCGACTTGAACTGCCGCACATCGGTGCAAAGTTCTATGTCGAAAACAGACAGACAGACTTTGGCACTATATTGCAATAAACAATCAAAAATGTTTACCTATCTGTTAAGCATCAAGTTTTGTTATGATCATGTAACCATCGGTTCACGGAATCTGAATGACCCATATTTTCCAACATCTACCTTTTCGCAATGTGATCCTGCAGTGAATAACAGTTCTTGCAAATGATTTGCCTAATTTTATGGACCTTACAATATATATATATATATATATATATATATATATATATATATATATATATATATATATATATATAGGGAGAGAGAGAGAATATCATGAAAGAAAACGAAGATTTACTTATAGAGATAAATGGAAAGTGCTAAACTATGCTCATTTTGTAGGTGTTATTGATTCTAAGTTAGTTGATTTTTTCCGGGACGATAAGTGGTTGCTAAGATACCGATCTGAAGATGAAATCTCAATTACGGCGGAAAGAATTCTTTCCCAACATTCTTATGTTTATAAGATTACGCGAAAGGCAGCTAATTTTGCCTTCATTCTCTGTAGAGGAGACGTTAAAGAGCATCTGTACGAGAACTCTACGTCCTAGATTTTTTAGAGTACGTTTGAATAGAATCTATTTAGCAACTAGGGAAAAATCTCAGATCTTTCCATTCTAGCAGGCGATTTAAGTGTTGAAGTAGGGAAGCTGAGCCAGTCGAAGAAACGTATCGCAATTTTCTATAGAGTGAATTGCAGACAAATAATGGTAACCTTGTATAATTCTGCTTAGGTGAACATCTACTGCCAACGCTCATCTTCGGCATAAAATGACATCGCCTCACCTGGTAACTACAGACATCGAGCCAACTATGGAGACAAACAAAACACCAAGCTACAATGTATCAGTAGATAGGGTACTTGGAACATTTGTTTATTTTGTTTAAATCCAGAGCACAATAACCTGCGTCAGTGTTAAATATATATGCTGTCAAAAAATTGGCATTGTCGTTTTGATATATCCTGTATAGAATGATAAATAATCAAACACTTCTAAGACCCACTTACCCACTCTTTATTTGCATATCTGTAGCTGGCTACCATTGCAGCACCTGTAGGGGCTTCAACTATATATTAGTCCGTGCACGCGTATGAATGCGACTGAATTGAAGTAGAAAAAACAGGTTCGAAGCCGTTTTTCGTGCTCAGCTTTCCTGTCCTCTAGCAGTTCTAAGGCCTTATTCCGTCTTTCTGGTTCGACCGGAACGCAGTGTGCGATAACTTCCTTTGCCTTTCAATCGCTTTACTGAGTCAAGTAATTCAATCTAATTCGATAGAATCGTTAACTATCCAGTCTTGCGAAATTTTTAATAAAAGTCCAGTAATTTGAAGAACTGCGGTAAAATTTAGGTACCTTTCTTCCAGGCATATCCAAAACTTTAGACACCTTTTTCAGGAACTCGTCATTGGGATGAATTCCACCTGGATGTGAGGCGAGAGTCATAAGGCGTCCACTTGTTCTATGTCGTGACCGAAACCCTGTCAATCTACCTTTCGCAGTCTTTCTTCCTCAATTTTCATTTGGGCAATACCCATTTTCGTTGATTCTAGCTCGCTTTCTATTTTTATTGATTTCGATACTGTCAAATTCGTTATACATAGATAACTCTAAAGTATGGTCGCTGTCGTCCTGTCCGTCTCTTATGATACTATTTGAAACTCTGCAGGAATTGATTGCCTACAGATGTCCAAGTTCTTACAGGCAGCACTGACAACACAATGTCTCTGTGCTTACCTACAGACAGAAACATATCAAACACCATTGATATGTGAAACGAATTGCTCAACGAGTTACATTTATATTTAGTCCGAAGCGTTAGCCAATTACTTAATGATAACCAACAAATCAGGTGGTAATTGATTGGTAAGCTATCATGAAATCTATCAGTTTATTTTCGGTATATGCCTCCTGTTTGGTAAAAGTTTAAGGAATAACCCTTTTGTGTAGCCCTTAGTTATATTCATTCTGTACAATTTCAGTGGAGCAGACTGAAGCTTCCTAACACAATTCTGATTATTTTAGCAAAATGTGAAAGCTCCTCGATAATACGGCACTTACAAAGTAATGCTGGATGAAATTCGCTATATCAGTAGAAGATGAATGATCCATTGAAAATACTGCATGAGCATCAATGAACTTTTCGGTAGTACTCTGATTCAAGGAAACTTCATTGGATGTATTATGTGCCGATGAACTCCCTAAACAATTGCTACGGTTTCTGAAAGCCTGCTAATAGTTTATACATCTTTTCAGACTTTAAAAGCCAAAAATCGATATTAATGCTTACACTTAACTCAAACATATTTGCACCTATTATTTAGTGGTATACGAGAAATTAATTTCCACAACAAATAACAATTAAATGTTTAACCAAGATAAAGAAAATTTAACAATATTGTTTTTGATTACAACTAGTTCCTCACGAAAAAACATTGTTGGATGTGTTATTTTTGCCTCTACTTTCCTCATAAATCGTGAAGTATCAACAAACTGCATGACATTTGTGTGAATTTGGATTAATTCCAATAAAAATTCTCCTAATGATCTTGGTCGATGGTGGAATCATTAATAGAATTTTGCATATTAGTTATCAATACTTCATTATACCGCACCCAATTTAGTGTCAGCAACTGTACACCCGCGTCGGTGGCACAGCGGTTAACATGCTCGCCGACCATGCACATTGTCCGGGGTTCGATCCCCGGCCACAGACGCACTCCTTTACCTCACTTAGCCAGTAATAAGATCGGTAAAGATGGAAGGTTGGGCATGGGCTAGCAACCCCATCCTGTAAAAATAAACACTGCTACAGAATCTACAAGCCTGAAGCTTGAAGCTCTATGTTCCACTGGGAACGTGAAGGAAATAAAAAAACTCTACACCCGATAAGTACTTATTACTGCTTAGATGTATAATATGTATAGACTGACCTCTGTCATTCCATTTTTTTAGCAGTGACACCTATTCTAATTTAGACTGCAATTTTTTCGTTCCATTTGGGTTTTATAAACACTTCATGAGCCGTGACTTTTGGGTGCACTTGTAAGTTCCACTAACTCTGTGGATAACAGTCACATTTAAAGGCAGTTATTTTCTTTGTCGTTTTGTTTATAGTATCTAGTTAGAGAATAACCATCAAGAATTTCGTACTGGAATTTCGGCTTTTTAACGAACAACCAAAACGTCAACAGTTGCACCAAACTGAATGTCATATTGATGGTCTGTAAGAAGATATTCACTTGAGTTTATTGCAATTTCAGCAGCATGCAGCACAATAACAATTTCAACGATTTGTTCTCTCAGATTTCGGCACATATTCACGTGATTCATCATGAAGACCAATCAAAATAATTTGGTGGGTGGTGACTAACAGTGGAATCTAAGATGAAAATTTCACCCTCTTTGGGACTCGTCAGTGTATGTACCTGCGTACCTGTGAGTGATGGTCCCCTCACCGAGACTAACATCCAGTACCCATCCACCAAATTAGTTCAAGTTAATCCTCAGACATTGTTGAAGTGCCCGTATTAGAAGCTGATATGTCAACAGATGCCGAACGTTTGGTAACAATCAGTCAAGGGGGAAATCGAAATTGACTTGAACAAATACTAATCCAAATACTTTCAGTCACATCATATCTCTACATTGAAATCAGAAGCCTATGCTTCTTCACGACACCAGCTTGAAATTAGAACCGCGTCCCTGTATATTAATAAATACCAAATCAACAATCAATCTATTCCATTGCTGAACATTAGGAACTATATATATATATACTTACATGGAAATCAAAACAGAAAATATAATACCGGAAATTGAGAATATCTGAAAATTACAGTAGTTAATCAGTACCTATGATGCAATAAATGTTTACGTTCACTACCAATTGGACAAACTGATGTTTACCGTTTAGTTTCAGTGTGTGTTCCACTAAGGGAAAATCTTTACAAAATCATCTTTAAAAAAACGCGTTTCATGCTGCAACTGTACCACCAAGAATATAATCCTTTGGATTACGTGAACGCATAGCTTCTATACCAAGGTCTTCAACTAAGTTTGAATTACTCTGTGGAAACTCAGTAACCGTGGTGGGTGATAACCTGATTACATTATGAGAAACTTCATCATCATCATTTAAATCGACATTGTCTGTACCAGATGTTGTTGGGATGGCATTGGTATCAATAAGTAACTCCTCTGCTGTTCCTCCGAAACCTCCGTGAATTAGACGACTGTCTAGAGGGGCTGTTACTTTGGTAAAACTTGTCATTCGGGTAGTACCGTCCAATGAAATACTTTCAAGCTTTTGCTTACTATTATCTTCATATTTGGACTGCATTAGATCAGGAGAGAGAAGATCCTGAGGGAAAAACAGCACAAAAAGAAAACGGTATCATGCAAATGAATTCATCATTTTATTATTTTTTAAAAATAATTCCTTGTATAATCAGCAGAACTGCAGATGGATGGCCCGGCCGATAACTGCTACCTTGTCGTGGTGGTCGGGCTTGAATACCGCAATGACCCAACAAGCTGAACTGACTGGGACTCTGTCTCTACAGGTCCTACCATGTCAGGAAGGTTTTCTGGATAGCGGTTAAACTAAAAGCAGTTACCATGGGGTACATGGGCTCCAGTTTCCAATCGGATCAAATGGCGTATGAACCCACATGGGTCACCGGCAACCATGGGAATGCAGCTCCTGACGCTGCTCCGCTGCCTTGCGGATTAGACTCCAAGTCAAAGGCTCGGGGGTGGTCCCTTAATAAAACCACCTGCTTCGGTCTGGGCGCCCGGGCAGTATCTCAGCCCGCACACAATGAATGAATTAAAGCAACGAACTCCCATTGAAACTCAACGCGCTCTAAAAAAAATGATTCCAAGCAATATTGATCCCTCAAGGAACTTATTTCCTTCCTACCCTACTTTTATTTTTATACATAGTTTCCTGTATTGTACCTTTTCTAACCTTGGCTTCTTAACCTTCGACAGCCTTTCGCCTTTGTCGAGATTCCCAGCCTATCCGTGTCGTTTCGAGATGTTAGTGAGTAGTCCTCAAAATGGTTGTTCCCAATGTGACATCTAACACGGATATCCTGAAACCGCGTGCTGCGTTCAAGCTGGCTACCTACAATGTTCGGACGCTGATGCAAATCGGACAACAGGCAGGGTTGGCAAGAACTTTGGAAAGCCTCGCTATCGATGTCTGCTGCATTTCGGAGACCCGCATTCAAGATCCCAGTGAAGTGCTTCGACTATCCTCTCCATCTGGAAGTTCTAGTAGTATGTACCACCTGCGCTTATCCGGGGACCCTGTGGCGTCGGCATCCGGCGTAGCTGGTGTCGGTGTCGCACTGAGCGCTAGAGCCGAAGCTGCACTGCTCGACTGGATTCCCATTAACAGTCGTTTATGTGCTGTGAGGCTGGAAGGTTATACGAAAGTAAAGAGTAGTAGGCCAGATAGGCGGTGTCTATTTGTTGTCTCTGCCTATGCACCGACGGATTGCAGCCCGGATGCAATGAAGGATGAGTTTTACTACCAACTGAGCGATCTCTTGAAACAGGCGGGTCGGAGGGATATCGTAGTGCTGGCTGGGGACTTGAATGCACAGGTGGGGCGTCTAAGCTCAGAGGAGAATCGTCTAGGTGGTCAGTGGGGACTACATGGTCGCAGGTCAGATAATGGGGACCGTCTTCTGCAGCTTTGCGCGGATCACAACCTATTTCTAGCTAGCACCAACTTCCGGCACAGCCATCGCCGTAGCGCTACCTGGCGTCCTCCCTCTGCGAAGCAAGCTTGGACTCAGATTGATCATATCGCGGTCAGTTTCCGGTGGCGAGGATGCATACAAGACTGTCGCTCCTTCTGGAGCACATGCCTGGACTCCGATCATGCGTTAGTGTGTGCCAAGTTCGTCTTGCGATTTGGTGGGGTTCGTAAAAGCCGTCGTCTAAGCGTTGATGTGAGCAAACTAGTAGCACCTGCTACTTCTTTGAAATATCAGAATGAGTTAAAAACAATGCTTGCCAGCAACCCCCCAAGTAGTATAGATGAACATTGGCTTCATGTGCAAGGTGCCATGCAAAAGGCGAGTGTAGCCGCTTGCGGCTTGAAAGAATGCTCCGCTAACAACCACTGGGTTTCTGCGAGTTCCTTGCAACTCATGGATGAACGCCGGTCCATTCCGGCTGGCAGCGAATACAACAATCAGCGAAAGGCGCTCACGCGCAAGATTAGACAGTGTTTACGTAAGGACCGCGAAGCCTGGTGGTCAGAACGTGCGTGTGAGATGGAGTCAGCTGCTGCATCTGGCAACAGTCGGAAGCTGTTCCAACTCATACGAGCCACCGGCAGCAAGAAACAAGGTGTCAGCGAGACGGTCTGTGAGGCAGATGGCACTCCAATTACCAGCCTGAAAAGACGCCTGGAACGCTGGGCAGAGCACTTCGGGAAGCAGTTCAGCTGGCCACCAGCTTCAGTGTCTACTATCATTAGCCCGAGTGCTCCTTGGTCGGTTAGTACCGACCCACCCACCGAAGCGGAGGTCCGTAAGGAACTCCAAGTTCTGAAACGCCATAAGGCGCCCGGCCCAGACAAATTACCCCCGGCTCTTTTTAAAGATGGTGGCGAGACTCTCACAATGGCTCTAACTGGGTTGTTCAGGAAGGTGTGGGAGACAGAGAGTGTACCATCAATGTGGAACGAAGCCATTATCGTCCCCATCTTTAAAAAGGGTCGACGTAATTCGTGTGACAATCATAGGGGTATCAGTCTGTTACCAGTCGCGTCTAAAATATTGGCTGCTGTCTTGCTTCGCAGACTGTGCAAAATACGTGAAGGATTGATTCGCGAAGAGCAGGCTGGGTTTCGTTCAGGTCGTGGATGCATTGATCATGTGTTCACCCTTCGTCAGTTGTTGGAACACCGCCACACGTATTGCAGGCCAACGATCGTTGTGTTTCTTGATATTAGGGCTGCCTTCGATTCGTTGGACAGAACTGTGCTCTGGAACTGTCTGTTAGAGAGAGGTGTACCTGAGAAATTTGTTAACATCTTGAAAGCCCTATACAGAAACACCTCAGGTAGAGTGAGGGCATACAACCAACTATCACCACTGTTCCCAACCAACAGTGGGGTTAGACAGGGTTGCCCAATCTCTCCATTTCTCTTTAACTTTGCCATCGATGACATTCTGGAGTCAGCTCTGAAGGATGTGCGTGAAGGTGGTGTAGATCTGCTACCTGGAGATAGACTTTTCGACCTCGAGTATGCAGACGATATCGTCTTACTGTGCGATAGCATGCAGGCTGCCCAAATCGCACTTAATCAGTTGGCGATCAGTGTCTGTAAGTATGGTATGTGCTTTGCGCCGTCTAAGTGCAAAGTACTGTTACAAGATTGGCAGGAGCCTGTACCTGCACTCACTCTTGCGGGTGAACCGCTTGAAGTTGTTGATAAGTTTGTGTACCTGGGTAGTTGTGTGAGTGCTGGCGGAGGGGTGACGGATGAGATTTCCAACCGTATAATGAAGGCTAGGGTGGCATACATCAACTTGAGCCACCTCTGGCGCCGTCGCGACGTTAGCCTGGCTGTCAAAGGTCGGGTATACAATGCTTCGGTGCGGGCTGCGCTGCTCTACGCCTGTGAAACCTGGCCTCTCCGAGCTGAGGATGTGCGGCGACTCTGCGTGTTCGATCACCGCTGTCTCCGCAGGATTGCTTGCGTTCGATGGCATCATCGCGTGAGTAATTCTGAGGTTCGGCGGCGTGTGTTTGAACAAAGTGGAGATCACCATTCATTGAATGTCGTCATCTGGAAACACCGGCTCCGGTGGCTTGGACATGTGCTCCGAATGTCACCCCAGAGGCTTCCGTACAGGTCTCTGTTCGCTAGCCCTGGGACGGGATGGAAAAGGCGGAGAGGTGGTCAGTCCATGACGTGGCGTCGTGGGATGAAGGATTTTTGTGCTAGATTAGCATCGGTTGGTGTGTCACGACTCCCTGGTTGGGGTCCGAGAGATAGCTCAAATCGATGGCTCGAAACGTTATCGGATATGGCCAAGAATCGTAATCAGTGGCGAATGTGTTGCGATTTCCTTCTTTCTTCCCTTCCCGATGATAGCTAACGAACACTGTTTGAACTTGTTAAGCATGACTGTTTTCCTTCCAGATGAAGTTCTTTATCCGTTCTCTACTTATATATATTTTTTCTTTTCCTTCCTTTTTTTTTGATCTATGTTGTTTTATTATTATTGTGTGGCGCATCTTTCTTGGTGCCATATTGTACCAAGTTTTTTATGCGTTTAAATAATAATAATAATCTATACAATCTGTTGATCCTTGAGTTCTCTTATGAGTCACAGCTTAATAATTCCAAGTGTGAATATTGCGATGAAACCATGAGATGCGACGTTGAAAAAGGTTGTCGTGTATCACTGAATACAAAAAACCTAATTGACCCCGGAAATAGATGTCCAACATCATCTATAGCGAAGCATATTATAGAGACGGGTCATAAGGTTGATTTTAACAATGCGTTTAAGCCGATATATAAGACAAGGTTGGGTCACATACTTAAATTCATTGAAGCCCTAGCCATTAAAAGACTTAAACCTGTCTTATGCGTCCAAAAGTTATTTGTTATCACCTTAAACCTGACTTGGTAATCCAATTTAGAACCAAGGACCAATTTACTTCAGAATATTTTCAAACCCCTTCTTTGCCTTTTTTTCCTCTCTTTATCTTTCTTACCCACACCTTTTGCGTCCCCCTACCCATTATTTGTGACCTTGACCTGTACACATTCTGACCTGTATTGTAATTATTCATGCTTTTTTGCCTTCTATAAATATGACAAGTACGTGTGTGATCAGAATGTCCGAAATGTGTTGCGCCAATACATTACTACGTCTTCTTATTGTGATGTCGAAATTCATAAAGGGAACTATTCATTTTTGTTTGATATATTTACTAGGTGAAATTGATATTCTCCCACCAAAATTTTATAATCCTTCTACTGGTCTGAAATACAACACAAACACTTTCGAACATTTAATTGGTTAATCATCTACAAACACTGAAGATTGACACATTATAAACAGGTTCATGAAAATATTTCAAATTTCAATTGCTCCGGTTTCTAGAGTTTTATCAGTTATATATCCCTTGGTCTTAGTTTTTAATTCTTGTCGCAGAAAACTTTTCCTTGGGACTTTTGTTCAAAACAATTCAAAATTCATAGTTATTCGTTTTATCTTATCCATGACCTGTATTGAATAGAAGGTATAATAGCCTCTGTTAGGCAATCTTGGTAAAATACATGACGTTCAATTAATATGTTGGTAATTACCATGTGATATCTCGAATTATTAAAATAAAAGAATCCCTTTAAGTGTGTGAATTCAGCCTAAGTATATTTCAAACTGATTGACAGATATATATAGTGCAATACTTTGTCGTAATAGTTGTTGGAATCAAGCTAAGAACCGAGATCATTCAAAGAAGTAGATATGAAAGAAATTTGGTGATTAAGGAAATTTTTCTCAATGGTGGAGAGTAAATCAACTGCTATTGTTGTTTGTCAGTAAGTCTACAAAAAAGAAGAACTGAGTGCTGTTGTTTATAAAAAATCAAAAATGTTTCGCTTTGAAATTTCATCTGGAAGCATAATGATCTTTATAAATTTTGAAGAATCGGTTTGTCAGCAATTGTAAGTTTTGAAAGAAGATGCAATCCCCGTGCGCGTATACATATTCTTAAATTCATGCTTGCATAAGATAACAGAATGTCAGTAATGAAGAATCTAATATATCGTTATGCTGGTCAGCTAGAAGCAGTTAACGTCATACAATTTTCAGGTAGATACCTCGGTTCCAACTCAGCTGATGGTATCAGGAAGTATATTTATTACCAAAGAATAAAAATTAAGTAATTATAATAAAATATTCAAAAGGCAACACGCTAACTAGTCTGATGAGAATATAGCCAAAGTAGCAGACGTCTATCAAAAAAGTTAGAAGCTGATTTGGTGTTTGACTGATTAACAGACAATCAATACAACTCTGACTGACAGATTCTCAAGTCACTCTCTTACCACACAAAACACGTAACCCTTCTGGCTCTATTTCAGTCAGCTATTTTTAATAAGAAAATCAGAAAATGAGTCATTTAAAAATGCAACAAAATATACCGACGGAATTATAGGCTATTTTGATGAATGCATAGTCAATCCTGCCTACTTCAACCAGTTTTACTTTAAAAATATGACGGAATATTCCACTAATTTAAGTAAGACTAAGATTATATCTTACCAATGAATTACAGTTAGTATGAACAAAACTAAATCTAGTTTTGTGAAAACTTCCAAGTAGATATATAGAGAATAATCTTGGGCTTATGTACGACCCTTTCAGTACACTGCTGCAGTTAAGCAGATTATTTCTTTTCTCATCATGTTAGTCAAATGTACCTCTGATTAAATTCATTTATGTACTGGCCATTTAAAGTAGTGCTACATCAGTCTGAAATTTCGTTGAGAGTGCATAATATGAAACTACCAAGAGAAGTATTACAAGAGGCTATTTGCCCCAGACGTGTGAGCAGTTTGTCATTTGCAGATATTAAATGCATTAGTTTGAATAACAGCAAACTTCGGATTCCCCACCTGACTCTTAAAACTGTGATGGTAGTGTAACGACATAAGACAAGGGCCAGGCAATTCATCGTTTTTTGAGAAGATCAAGAAATATTTTTAGATTTTTATGTACATTATCATAAGCATTATTGTTGGTAGAGAAGCAACGTCCTCTGATTGGTTGTTTTCTTGCCGATTTTATTATGCACTGCAAAGTTTTATGTTGAAAACAGATAGCTTGTGACCGTTAGGCAATATATCTGCGAATCGTATTTGCACTCGTTAATTCCGCTGTGATTGGTTGGTGAGTTCCTCAAGGTTAGGCTTTGTTATTGTTTTTTCGCATGACCCCGATTTGGGACGTAAATTGTTACCTGCAATTCTCACCACAGTAGGAGTCTCTAAGTTCACGACTTACATTGTACATTCATTCGGATACCAAATAAAGTAGTTCTGTTATAAATTTAACATTTCGAAGAAGTTTTAAAATTACTCAAACATTATCGTGTTTCTATTATGGTGTCGTAATATTTGTGAAGTATATTAGAATGTATACAGAAAGAGAAGTACACAGCCTGTCCATAATGCTTTGATGTTTCAAGTAATGAACCTCATTGGGATTACTAACAGTGCAGTACATACGGTCGACAAGTTCAAAAAAGGGTAAAACGTTGATTCTATATCCAGCTGCTACCACACAAACAAGGTAAAAACAGCTGAATTTATTTTAGGATAAAAAAAATTCAATTAAACTTAAAATGTTATTGAATTAAGAAAACGTGTGATGTTTAAACTTTCACTATGACTACATTTCCCTACTAATCCACTTTCTCTGCATCGTATTCTATGCACTAGAACAGGTAATTTACGGTTACTGTAACCCACTTTCGAAACAAATGAACTTAACATCGAGAAGTATTGATTGCCTTGTAAATACTGCACAGAAACTTCAATAACTTCTCAGGAGATACAAGTGGAATTTTCGGTAGAACATTGTCATGTGCGGTTCAGCCAGCCTTCAGCTACACTACTTCTGCCTACCATCCAACTCCTTCCTTGATGCGATGTAGATGTTGGTCCTCCAACTGCAGCCAAAGTCGCAATAACTGCTTTTGATCTTAAGAGAGACACAAGCGCCAAAAACGTTTTAGAATGGTGGTGTTGAAAAGTAATAGCCATAGTAACTAGGGTATTATCTCTTAGAAGAGATTCTGAATTAGTTCCGATGGACTTGTGTAAACCGTTTATCATCCCACTCCATAGGAAAGGATACAAATCTCCTGTTGTAAACACAAGTTGACTAACATGGTATGTGAGATTTCATGTGGAATGGCGCTACAACGAATAAGTGCGAATCAGAAACAACATGTCTTCAGGCTAGAACAAAGGTGCATTGATTATAGCTTCACTCTTAAAAACTTGACTTAAAGTCTACAAAATCAAAAATGTTGTGGATCTGTGTCTTTTTGTTCAACATAGCAGTTGAATCGTGTAATTACAGTAGTAGTTTTTAGTGATCACAAAAGCCTGATGAATGACAATAGTCACCATCTCTCTGCCCAATGATTTGCTGAAATACCAAAAGACCGGTAAAAAAAACTACTGAACTAGACATACCCCCAATTCAGCTGATATTGTTTCCGTATCTTGCGAATCCTCATAATCATCTGAATACGAAATGAGATCAACTTCATTACCGATATCATCGTCATTATATCCAACATTTCTATTATTCGTTGTATTCGTGGAAATTTGTGAATTTTCAATGGAACTTTCATTCAAATTGTCAACACGATCTTTTGAGCTACAACCACCATCGTCTGCTTCGCCATCATAATCATTGTACTGATTTATCTCCACAGTTTTATTTAATTGTCTTGTTTGTTCTCTACACTTCTGCAGAATATGACTATTTGCTTTTGAAATCTTTACAAAGTAGTGGGATAATAGAAAATATGACAGTTAGAAGACGAACTGATCAAACTGAAAAAATCTCCACAATATAACACATTTTATGTCCTAATCTAATGCTTTGCCATAAAAAAGAGCTTGTCGTCACCTGTACAACGTAAACAGCAACAATTAAAATCAACATTTGGGAAAGTCTTACTAAAAAATTCCTTACCGGTGTGATGATAGTTTACGTTAAAGACAAATATCATTTGAAAGTTAACAAGTTTTAAAAAGCGATAACATAAATAAATTGAACTAAGGTATTGTGGGAAGAAAATTAACAGAAGCATTGAAGTTAAGGACCTCAGCCACCTCTAATCACTTCAACTGCCGAATAACTTTCATGTTCATTTTATTATTTAATAAAGATGTCAGACGATAAGTATGCTTTTTCATTATTATTATTATTGTTCCCTTGGATTCCTAGTGGAACATAGGGCTTCAACTGCACGTCTCCACTTGCCACTTCTGTCTTCTGCTGTGTTTTTCACCTGCATCCATGTTAGTTCATACTGTTTCAACTCCTCTTCACACGACCTCCTCCATGTCACCCTTGCACCGACGTCTCACTCGCCGCTTCCCTTTCGGGTTCCACTCGAGCAATGGTCTGACGCGCGATGTCACCCAGCGGTCTCCTCAACGGGTGTTCAATCCATCTCCACTTTCTCCTGCATATTTGTTGGTTGGCGATTGGTTCTTGTTTTGTTTATTCCCATAGTTTCTTGTTGTTGATTCTTTCCAGCCCGGCCATCTGATCGTCAGTATAGATCCAGCGAAGACAGTTGTTGATAAAGGTCTTCGACAGGCTGTTGGAAATATTCTGTGTGACCCACCCGCCAAGTTTCTGATCCGTATAGAAGAACTGACTGACTTTACGTTTGTATTGAAAATCCTAACCGAATTTTGTTGTTGATGCTGAGTGACGAAGATTTCCAGATTGGTTTCAGGTTGATGAATGTGTTTCTCGCCTTCCCGATTCTCGCTCGACTTGACATCCTAGTCTGTTCCTCGTGTAGTTGAGACAATGCTCCCTAGATAAATGGTGAATGAAGTAACCTCTTTCAAATCCCTCCCGTTGATGGTGATTGGCGCTGGATGTTGCTGCTGTTGTTTGTTGACTGGTTATTTTCATGACCTCCATCTTGTCTATGTTCACCTGGAGTCCATTCTTCGCCGGCTGCTTCTTCGACCAGTTTGTCGGTTTTCGCTTGTAAGTTTTCGATTTTGTGTTACATCGAATATAAATCATCCACGCGCGAAATCCAGGACTTCTAGATTCTTCACATCGGTCCAGGATATCCCTGTCTGCTCGTTTCCCACTGTCTGACGCATAATCCAGTCCACCACAATTAGGAATATCATTGGTGATAATAAACCAGCACCCTTGTCTGACTCCTGTGTTTACTCCAAACGCCTCGCCAAGTGAGTTTTCCGTTGTGGATCACTTCACATGTGCCGTTGTCGTACAGCTGTTGAATAAGGTTGATGAGTATTTGGGGTACGCCATAGTACTCGAGTAATCTCCAAATTACTTCACGGTCAACGCTGTCGAAGGCCTTCTCAAAGTCTATAAAGTTGAGGTAGAGGTTTGATCGCCATTCCATGCTTTGTTCTGTGATGATGATGCGTAGAGTTTCACTTTGGTCAGAACATGATTTGCCTTTCCTGAATCCAGCATTTGCATTACTTTTGGAGAATTACATGATTAGTACCTACGAAGCCGTCATTGTGATTGATTTAGTAGAAACATCTAATGATATTACCTGCTTTTGTGACAACCTATATCGTTTACGATATTTAGATTTATAGCATTGGAAGCTATTTTGTATTTTATTCAGTATTCTGACTAATACGGAACAAAGTATTTCACACATAAAAACGTCGACGAAGCAATTGTTTTTTTGGCTCATATCATGAGGATGAGATCAATAACTTATTAGAATATGGCTAGTTCGATAAATTTCGACTTTTAAGAATTCTGTGTACATCAGTCCGAACACCTTTGATTACTATTCAATTTCACCCGTAGGTAGATAGGATAATTACAGATAATCTTATAGTAAAAGTAGAACTCTTTTCTAATCAAAAGTTAGTGAGTCAAAAACTTCTAATTATTTAAATCCAGTTATTTATTTCCTTCCTTGTATACTGATCAGTTGCACACAGAAGTACAGATCATGAATGAGAGCATTAGTATATATTAAATTGAAGTCTGAGTAGGACCGAATGCAGAATATCAGTTAGGTCTTGTAAACAAGTCGGTAAAGTAGTAATGTTTTTTTGAATTATCTTATAACTCAATTACTGTTCTGACTTCTTTGGTTCATTTTTGACAAACTTAGTGTAGCACTTATCGAGAATGGGAACATAAAATGAACCTCTAAACATCATGGAAACTAGGTTGAATTAAAAGATGACTTTGATTTCTGACATGATATGCTGATTATAATTTGATTATAGTTTGGTTTGTAAGGGTTAGTTATGTTTTCACGAGTTGATCACGGATTGATATCAGTTAGAGAAGCATTGAAAACCAAGGAGTACTGGACAGCTGCTGTTTCATCCTAGTTTGTGAATCATCGGAAGTACACACCCACTGGGATTCGAAACCAGGACCTTCCGGTTACAAGCCGAGCTGACTCGTATACCATTCAGCCACTGGGACCCGATTCAATGGCTCATGAATTCTAACTTCTACCAATTCGTGATTTAGCGCGACCCCAACCATTGTCGTTGGTGGGACTCCATCCACACACGTGACATCTAATTGGACCTCACTGGTCACGACTTCTCACTAGAACTCCAGGAAACTCCATCCTGTAGCAAGTCACTAGCGAGCATCAGATTAACTTTCTATAGTTTTTGGTTTGTAAGAATTAGTTATGTTTTCATGAGTTGATCACAAAGACAAAATAGTACCCAATCTACATATCGCCCACACGTAAAATTCATCTTTTACAAATGTTACCTTTAATGAGGAATGTGAACAATACACAATTAGAAATAATTATTAGTGTTCGACAGACATAGTCTCCCTAAAAGTATTCAGTTTTTGAAGATGACAAAAACATTGACAACATATTTGTTTGGGGAAACTTGCTCGCTATTATAAAAATATCGTGAACTTTGATTCATGTTAGCTGAGAAATAAGACTTCAGATAACTTATATCTGCTACTAACTTTTCTTGACTTTACTTAAGTGAGTTGATTTTTATTTAACATATGACCATATAATAAATAGGACTGTAATGGTTCGATCCATTATAATACTGTAATTAACTCTTACACACTATGGATTAGTTACTTACACATTGTCCGTTGTAATTTATTGTGTGTGCTTTGTGTGCTACATGGAGTATGGCGACTTGAACTGCCGCACATATGTGCAAAGTTCTATGTCGAAAACAGACAGACAATTTATTGTGGTGTGAATTCAACATTTTTGATAATACGCCTTTCACAAACTTTACAAGTGCTTTTTAGCTTTACACTGTTAGTGTATCAGCAAATCACGTCTAAGTGAATTGAGAAACATGAAGAACTGGTAGGATTAATCTGCCCATAATTGGAGTCAGATCTAGTGCCCATCAGAACTTGTTTTTCGCTACCACAGAACAGAACAAAACTGGTTAAGGCAGGTTAAATATTCATTGAGGCAAAACACAATGAAAATTAAAAAGAAAAGAAAACTTGCATCTATTATGTGTATATATCATAGGCAATTGTATATTTGTGATGTATTTATTCCTTGTGATCTTCCATAATCTGGAAATTCTAATTAAATTTCATGTAATTATTCTTCATCTCATACATGTTCATCATTTATTGTTTAAAACTTTATATGCTCATATCATAAGCGCAACAATCTGAAACTTAGTGATGATGATTCAGTTCTTCATTTTCTGTCGTTTATTAATGTCTTAGGAGAATTTCAATTCTTTTTCTTTTCTTATGTAATGGTCTCCACGAAGACATAATTCTACATACAAGTCATCTGCATTTAAAAGTAGCGTATACTACATCATTTATTGTCCATTTTGTGATTCAGACATTGTTTCTATTCCATATCGAACTTTTATGAATGTTAAATATGGGCCCTCAATATCATCTTTTTTTCATAGCGTTACCCCTCAAACTTTTCTAGCACTCAGAGTATATTAAGAGCTATAGATCAGTTCGAAAAATACAGATATATTGTGGACTTAAAAATGCTCTTACCATATACAGTATATGTCATCAGTATACTGTATGATTTTCTCAAATCACTTTGAACCAATAAGTATGTATATCTGAACAGGCATGAACCATATCACGACTCATCTAAATAAAAGGATAGATCCTGCAAATAGATTTCTATAATTTCAATGTTTCAAGTCCTGCAGAAAGACTGCATAACTACTCAAAATCTATATAGACCTTGAACTACGAATCTGTCCTAACAAAGGAGAATTTCTGAAACAACATTCTAAGTAAATATCCGGCTGAACAATTAACCTTACTTGACTCATAGAACCAATAACTACTTTGGATAAATGTAAATATAATGGTATCAGTGATTCAACACTTTATATTTCTAAAACTAAGAGAAAGCATTACTGTAGAAATAAATATAAATAAATAAATGCCTATCATGCACACCGAGAAACTACTTAAACTTATAAGGCAATAAGATTTTCATCACAAGACAACTATTCTTAAAAGTTTTAAACAGACAGAATAAATCTGTAATGTAATATGATTCAAAGTGGAAAACACGGTTTCATTTGGCACAATGTAAGTGGCAGGACAACTTTTACAATAAATTATTTGCGACAATTCAAAAAGATAGACCCCATTACATCATCCTGCATTTGAGAACTTAGTATGAAAGTGTTGCAGTTATTTTACATCGATTTCACCACCAACAGAAGATTCATTTCAATTACACGGAATTAGAACTTTATTCTATGTAGATACTGGCTCAATAGTAAGATATAGTAGTATTTCAGTAGGTATAAGTCAAATATAAGGAAAATAAACACTCAGGAATCAGCAACTCTCAACAAAGAACACATATAAATCTTAATACTTACTTGTGGGGATAAATTCGACTGTTTCGGTTGCATTAACAAAAAATCTTCGCTTTGTAAATTTTCTGCCGATGATGATGACGATGACGTTATATATTCTTCACAGGCATTAGTGCTACATTTTGACTCTTTTATCACTGAACTTTCATTCTGAGAGTTAGCCAATTTCGACTGTTTTAAGTTACTTGGGACAAGGTCAACCGTTAAAACGTCATTGTTACTGATATGATAAATATCACCTTCATTTTCACTTCTTCTGCTGTTGGTCACGCACTCATCACTTGATGCAGAATCCTCTGGTGGTGATAAGTTAGATGCAACTTCATCCACATCCGTTAAATCTGGATGTCGCTGGAAAAACAAAAAGCAAATAAGTAACTGATGTCTGACGGGCTTAACAAAGTGACATCTCCCACTAAAAGAAATAACTTCAAGTTGCTCTAATTCGAGGAAGCCAACATAAAAGTAGAAAAAAGTAATGTAAAAACTACAATGGAAGAAGATGCACAGAACAAAGAACAAATAGATGAAAATCTTTAAGAATTTCTGAATTTGAATGATGTAGTAAATACAGCTGGATGACTGCCAACCCTTTTAAGCAGTGTCATCTAAATACTCAACATCCAGAGGACTCAAACAACCAGTCTACATCCCATTATATGGTCAGTGACTCCATCGATCAGTGCTTTATTTTCTGCGCGACACCATCTACCTCGACATATGTAACAAACACCTTAGATATATCACCTATAAACTCTTCCTTTTTACCTCACGATTTGACAATAACTTCACTAATACTCACCATATCACTCCATCTAGTGTGAGGGGTTGAACAGAGGCACCCATCGTCGAAAACTCCTAATCTCTTCATGTCTAGCTTACATCTTCAAAAACCGTGTCTTAAGTCCATAAAGTAGGATGAAACGAACCGCTACACAGTACACACGTCTTGCATTACATTGGTATCCCGATATCACACAAACACCAAACATAATGTTTGTCAAATGACCCTTTTGTTTATGTGCTCATTTTGGTCTGCATTCAGTTCACTTGAGCTGGTGTAACCCTGAAAACAAGCCTACTGGTCAGCTCAACCATTCCACTCCCTATATCATGTAACTGGGAGCTGGTTTGCACTGCTTCTGCAGAATCCTCTTACATTTGACAAAGGCAACTTACATAACGAAGATATTCAACCGGTTCGCTCAAACTCTTCACAAGCCCCTGTACTTTATCATCATCTTAGCCTGATGGCTTCTTATCAACGAGAAAGCAAAAGTGTAAGGTAGAAATATTGAATTTCAACCTCTACTATGTCACCACTTTTCAAGAATCAATACCACCTTCTTGTAGAAAACCATACTTTTCGATAAAGTCCCCTTCCAATCTAATAACCTAACTGCCTATAATTAGTGAAAAACCAGTCAAAATCATGTTGATAACTATCAGACTACCACAATAAAATTACAAAAAGTACTCAGTGAATTCATTTCGCCTCTACACTGTAACTTCATGTGTATTTATTGGAAAAAAGTGACCAAGTCTTGATAGAAAATAAACATAAGATCACATCCCAAACATATGTTGTATAAATGCATATGCGTTTGTAGAAACTCTCACAGGTCAACTCCTTTTTGAATTGTCGTGCCAAACTGCATAACAGCATGCCTTAACGTACAACAATTTTTTTCCGTTATCTCCCGGAATGAGTTTTCGTGAAACTGTTTAGCGCAGAAAAGTCTGAAGCTGGTAGTTATGACCTATAATACTTAGTTGTAGGACCACTTTGTAAGTTACATAAAAAAATATTTTTTCAAAGGAGACTCTGCATTTCTGCATATTGTCCAAAGTTTATGAGCCATATTAGCACATTTACAACATAAGACAACAAGAGGCTAGGTAAATTAAAAACTATCATTGTTGGTTATGGAAAGAATAAAACAAGAAGTGATGGTGAAACAATTGGAAGTAAGTTATATTATAATGGTAATGATTATTTATTTAGACCCCGAAAAGATACTGCGTGGATATCATGAAATGTGCCAAAAAATTTAATAAGCAAACATTAGGAAGACAAAGTAATTAAAGGGTTACAGAATGATTATGCAGACATTCTACTTAGGTATAATCAAATAAACACATCAGAAAAACAAAAATGTGAGATATGATCACCTGTAGTTCCCATTCTAAGGCATTTCAAAGATAACCTTGAGCCAGCATGTCTTATGATTTCTTAAGTCTTACCTAAGGAACTGTGGTTCCCTAATAGGCGGTAACTTAACACAAGAATGCTTGACTCCACGATCGCATTCCAAGAGTAACAAAAAGCAGACACTGAAACTGCCAAAACCGATGTCTGAAAATCATTTCTCTCATCCACAGACGATTTACACTTTGTTCACGCACCTGCTATTGGACCTCAAAATTATTTACACAGTGTCGCTATCATGTAATGGCTTTTTGTGGCAGACAGAAATAACCAAACATACAGAGTCGCTTGGCATTATCAGCTTTAACGGACCAGTTTCCACAAGAAGTGGGTACAAGCTAGAGACTGAATATAGTTTTTAATCCGAGTTATTACCATTGGTGGATCGAATGGATATGAAATATACAGATTACTGGTTTTAGGACTATTAGTAATGTTCACCCGGATTGGAATGTGTGGGTGAGTTCAGCACTTCGCTGTGATCACAACTCACACACAATTACTGAACAAGAATGAAACCTCTGCCCAGTATTTTTGTTTTGTTTTTTGTTGTTGATTTTTGTATCTATTTCAGCAGATGGTGAGAAATACGTCAAGCTAATCAACCCGTGAACATTATTCACCTGAAAATGAATAGAACTTTAATTACGTGAAAATATCGGCAGAAAAAAACATATTGGTAAATAATAGTTTCAGAGAAATGTTGAACAAATATATATAAAACATACAACTGAGCTTTTGGGGTGAGTTTGTTTCATATCCTCCACTTTGCCTACGTTCTGATGCAATTTACGTACAGGTTTATCATTTTCATCCAACAGGCTTTGACGTTGTGAATGAATGGTTCTATTATGAGAGGTTTTCTGTTCTTTATCTGCTGAAGGTACACACTGAACTATGGATGACTTATTCTTTTGCACACGCAAAAAATGAGTCAACGTCAATTTTGGCACTAAAGAACTTTGCGCTGGTCCACGATAGACTGGAGTTGAACGTAACCAACCTCGATCTAAAGACAACAAGATTATAAATATATAGTTGACCAGTTATTTGCAGAGGCTATTCAAGCAGCATGTGTTATATAAAATCACTTTAAAAACGGCTTTCACATTTTATTTACACTGCACGCCATAAGAACAATCATCTATCGATTATTACCCACTACAAGTGACGTACGATGGCAACAATGACATGCAAACAGTTTCATTTTATGATCAAAGAAAAGGTAGTGTAACTTATAACAAAACGAGGCAACTGACTTTGTAAGTAAGTCCATCTGTCTGTTTTCGACATAGAACTTTGCACCGATGTGCGGCAGTTCAAGTCGACACACTCCCTCCTTGTAGCACACAAAGCAAGAGAAGAAAGTAGAAATGCATAATGGAGACAGTAAACAGAGCTGTGAGGCAAAGGAATAGTAATAACGAAGAACAAAACAGTTTCATCGGAAATCATAAGTCACAGGGAGTGGATGCATCTGCGCCAGCCATTGAGAACGATTTTGAGCCAATCACCAATTGTTTCCAACCATTAGTTTTTACCATCCCGAGGACACCAACCGGGAAGTCTACACCTTCCTACGTGATTGGCTTAAACTAACTGTTGTATATTCAATTGACTGGTGTCATGTTCTGGTTTGACCGCCGCTAGCTCTTTTCCAGCCTGACCCTATGTCAGGTAACATTGCCCGTCGAGGAAGGCGATCGATGGCGAGGCATACGTAACACACGTCCTACCCATCTCAGTCGATGTAGTTCCACAGCCTCGTCAATTGATTTCCCCTCCTTACCTAGAACTCGACCGAAGTCTGACCTCAATATTGCTCACCTTATTATACCACTTCACACAGGAGATAGAGCGCGGGCATCTGTGGTCGAAGACAGCTAATCCTTTTATGTCTCCCACTCTCAATGGCCAGGTCTCACAGCCATAGAGGAGGACGGGGCGGACTGATGAACAGTACACCCGCCCTTTGGTCGACAACCAGATATCATATATACGCCAGAGTCGGCGTAAACTGGCATATGCGAAACTAGGCCTCTGTATCCGTGTTGAGATTTCGTCAGAGATCAACCCGTTGGGACTGGCTGATGGTACTTCCCAAATAAGAGAAGTGGTCAACGTGCTCTACCACTTCACCCCGTATTTCTAAACTACGAGTCAGTGTAATCCAGTCCTGTAACATCATCTTACATCTGGCGGAAGCGAATCGCATGACAAACATTTGTAGATCACAGCTCAAGGTGTTCAGAAGACTGCATTTTGTCAGGATCCTCGCCTAGAAGGACTATATCATCTGCATATTCTAAATCAACAAGATTATTCCCTGCTGGCGAGTCAATCCCTATGTCTCTAAAGTGAGTTAGGGTTAAGTCCATCAGTGCATCTATGATGAAGTTGAATAGAAATGGGTATCCTTGACGGACACCACTAGTTGTCACTACTTCAAGTGACAACTCACCGTTAGCTCTTACCTGGCTGCATGAGTTCGAGTAGAGTGCCCTGATCAGTGCAACGTATTTTCTCGTCATTCCCTTTACAGCCAAGCATAGCTAGAGTATCTCGGTCGATAGAATCGAATGCCGCCTTTAGGTCAAGAAATATAATGATTGTTGGAGGCCGCTAGGAGTGCCTGTGTTCTAGAATCTGTCGAAGGGTGAAGATATGATCAATACACCCTCTTTCGTGTCTAAAGCCTGCCTGGCTCTCTCGTGTTTGTGCCTCCCGAGCACCACCTAGTCTGTGCAATATTATTGAGCCTAGGACTTTAGATAATATATCAATCAAGCTAATCCCTCTGTGATTATCACAGGAAGACTTCTCTCCCTTCTTGTGAATGGGGATAATCAGTGAATTACACCAACTTGACGGGACTTCCTCTGGTTTCCAAATCCATCTGAAAATTTAATCTATCATTCTTACGCTAAAACTCTGGAAAATTCACTTCTGCTGAGGAAAAACACGATTTGCCTTAAAGTCACTATAAACGGTGATTATGCAGTTGCCAGATGTCAAAAACGGTGAACGATTTCAGCATTAGTCGGTTTAGATGTTACTACCTAAATATGCTGACTCCCTAAATGAAATTTCAAGTTGTTTGAATAAGTGTAGAAGATGAACAGTTTAATTGGGTCATTTAAAATTCAACAAGTAAACACACTTATTAGGTCTACAACTTTTAGTCTGTGATTTTGAATCCTTTTGAAAAAATTACATTTCAATTCTAATGAAGATGGTATGTAGCAGGGTATACAAATTCCTCAAATTTTCAAAGCAGACTTCCATTTGACAATATATAAATTCCGATAAGAATCTTAAATTTAAGTAACATAAAATAACTTCGTAAAAGTTGGTACTCATGACCTCGTGAGGAGTCGATCGTTATAAATGGGTTTAAATCCAATTCCCTGGATTTATTACTTCGTCCAATTTCTGATCATCTTACATTAGCCTATTTCATGCAATTCATCAGCCCTTAGAACCTCTAAGAATTCATCCTGAAGCTAACCACTGCTGAACGGTGGACTGATATTTTTCTTAGACAGCTTCAAAGACAAGTAAACTATTGGCCGTCGGAAGACCATTACTTAGATTTCAGTCATTTATACGGCTTCCTAAGAACTTCAAACATTTTTCTTATATTACTGAAAGAATGCAAAATAAACATGAAATAAATAAGCCAATCTGTAGAATCAATATTCACTACGGATACTCTATGGCACTGATGCCTAAATCAAAATGCTTCAACTCAGACAAATTAAGTGTACTTATAGATTTGAAGTCAGTAATGAAATAAACTGAAATGTATTTGGATTACGCTGTTCGATTTTCAGCACTCAGAAATGAAAAGACGAAGCTACAAAAAGAACTCATCACTGAGGCCATCAGAGCCAGGTCGGAGGCAATACGTAGGAATACTGAGGAAACTTGTGCGGAAAATCGCTGGAAATCTCTGTAAATGACCTTTAAGAAAACGTGAATGACCGTTTTAGGAAGAAAGAAGAGGCGTGACAAGCAGTAGTCGCACACGGACACGCGGTAGTCGATAGAAGAAAGTGGGATGGTGAAACAGTAGATGAACCAATGCAAAGATCGGCAACAGCAGAGGTTTGATGTATATCGCTCTGTATGAAAAAGAGTGCTAGGATAGACAAAAAGACCATTCTACGACACATTGGCAGCTGAAGTACAACAGGCAGGCCGCAGGTAAAACAGACCTCAGAACATTATATCGAATAAACAGGTCTCTATCTGGGAAGAGATCAACCCAGATGATGAAATCAATAAGAGATGCTCAAGAGAACCTGATTACGCCTCACTCTACAAGAACTGGCGTGGAATCATGCTCTTGTCCACGCCAAGCAAAATACCAGGTCGCATCATCCTGGAGACAATAAAGGATGCACTGGATACTGAACCCAGCCAACAGAAACTAGTTGGATTCAGGAAAGGCAAATCATGCGCTGATCAAATTGAAACTCTACACATCTTCATCACAGAACAAAGCACAGAATGGTAGTCAAACCTCTCTCTACCTCAACTTCTGATATATATCCATATAATATGTGTGTTTTGTTTGACAGTCTGTCATTGGTGATATATATCCATATAATATGTGCGTTTGTTTGACAGTCTGTTATATTTGCTATGTATATATGGATCGATATTCCATTATAATTAGCCAATCATGTCTATTGTTCATTTTGAATATTCGCTCACACACTTGTTCGGACATTCATATATATTTTTGCTCGCACACTCTTGTGTGACATATTGATTCCCCTTGTGTTTGAAATATAGAAGTATCATCGCAAACCTAGTGGTCTTCTGATTTCCGTCTTTCTTGCGTCAGGACTATTAAATTTTCGACCAGTACATAACAATAATTTGGCGACGAGTACATAATAACTTCATCGACTTCGAGAAGGCCTTCGATAGACAGCCTTGACCGAGAATTAATTTGGAAACTGCTTCAATACTACAGCGTGCATCAAGTCTTTATAGACCTCATTCAACAGTGCCACGTGTCAGGTAATCCACAACGGAAAACTCAGCGAGGCGTTTGAAGTACAAATAGGAGTAAGACAAGCTGACTGCTTATTATCACCGATGATATTTTTGATAGTGGTGCACTGGATTATACGTCATACTGTTCTTGGGAGCGAGGGAACAGGAATACGCTGGCCAAACGATAAGAAACTAGGAGATCTAGATTTCGCAGATGATATATGTCTAATGTCACGATAGCTCGAAGCCTTGTGGGCGAAAACCAACTAACTGGCTGCAGAGGCAGCGAAGACAGCACTCCAAGTGAACATAGAGAAGACTGAGGTGATGAAGATGACCAACCAACAACAAGAACAACCAGCACCAGTCACCATGTGCAGGAGAGATTTAACAGAGGTCACCTCCTTCACTTATCCGGCTAGGAAGCATCGTTTTAACTACAGACAGGATCGGAGAGGTGAGATACTCCTTTATCAACCTGAAACCAGTTTGGAAATCTTCTATAGTTAACATAAGGAAGAATATTTGGATTTTAAACACCAATGTGAAATCCCTCCTTCTATACGGATCAAAAACTTGCACTGGGTGTCACGAAAAGGACTTCCAACAGGTTGACGGCTTTCATCAATAGCTGCCTTAGCTCCATACTGAAGATCAAATGGCCAGAAAGAATTATCAACAAGAAACTCTGGCTTGAAACAAACCAACCAAGAGCCGATCGCTCAACAAATATGTAGGAGAAAATGGAGATGGATTGATCGGGCATATGTTGAAGAGGCTGTCGAATGACATGGCGCACAATGCAGGCCATCGCTCGAGTGGAATCCGAGTGGGTCATCTGTGAGAGGGTGACATGGAGGAGATCGCGTTAGGAAGAGATGAGAGAGTTTGGGCAATCCTGGACCCAGATGAAGAGGACGGCAGAGGATAGGAAAAAGTGGGGATGTGTTGTTGAAACCCTCCGTATGTTTCACACGGAACCGAAAGGGGACAATAATAATAATAATAATAATCCAATAAGTTTTACGAAAAGTTAACACCAATCCCGCCCTTATAAAACTCCGCTTACTCTTAGGTACCATTTTTCCGGGTGGTGGAGGTACATGTTTTGGCAAAGCAAGTTTCCTGAGATGTTTCATGTCCATTTCATGTTTCTGGAGTTTTAACTGTGGTCTACATGTAGATAATCGAGATCTCACACCCTTTGAAGATGATGTTGTATCATTAGCACTCGCTGTGAAAAGCTTAGTCTGAGTTTCTCTGACTGAGGATGATAATTGTTCCTTTTGTCCAATGAATGAATCACCACAACATGTTTGAGATCTGCTGAGGATCTACAATAAATGTAATTAGTGTATTAATGCCAGTAAAAAGTTGGTGAATTGTGAGAAAAGTCAAATTAACTATAACCATATTTCAATGGTTTACAAACAATGATAAGTTTTTTTTGTTTTGGTAATAATTTCAGCAAAATTATTCCCCGTGGTCACACCAACTGTTGGAATTTCTTTTAATTAGTGCAGTCATTTGTTTGTTAAACAAAGTATGTGATCTGATAGAAGAGCCTATACAATTACATAACTTATGCAAAAGCCATGATATTAAATAATTAGTTAGGGCTCCAGTTACTAATACCATAAAATATAGACACATGACTAAAGTATGCATTTTCATCCACTAACATTTAGTTAAAATTACAAAAACTCCCACTTAACCCATACCTATTCCGGTAATGGAAGGCATCAACTGATCACCTTGTTCGGTGACATCCTGGGATGGTATGATACAGACAATGTGTACAATCGAAACATGATTCTTACGGCATTACATTCACACGAGAAACTGAAGCCGGGACCTAACGAAAATAACGAAATCACAAACTGACTTATCTCATCACATCTAATTGAAAAGTTACGTGTCAACTGTACTGCACTGACTCTCATTTTGCGGATATGTAAGGAATTCATCAAAGATCAAACCGTCTTACTTAAAGTAATGCACATGAACTTCAGTTAAAGAGTATTAATTCTATACAACTTATCACTATAGGGTATGAACTGTCAAACAACTTTTCGTTACGCTTTTACACTTCGTTTTCATCTAATATTATGTAACAACATATGAATAAATGGAAAGGCGAAATAAATACGTATACAAATAAAATACTGAAATCTTTGGGAAACTAAAAGAAAAGTAACTTATTGCAATAGTGATTGACTTAAAGTTATTTAACAAACCGGTTTCAACTGCTAAATTCTTATATATCATGGAACTCAACTAAGTATACCACAATCTCGTACGTGAATAGTATCAACCATCAGTAACTTCACAGACATAGTTTGAGTCTTGTTTTCTCTGCCCTATAAGATTCTGACTTAAGCATCATACTTCTAGGTAAGAGATAACTGACACCGCCACATTGACTGAATCAGGTTTCTTGTTTGAAATTCTGAAAATTAAATACGAAAATGAATGCAGATCTGCTGGTTTCCTGAATGAAACTTCATTCCTGAGTCAGGAACTACACCATGTTTGAATGCTAATCCCAGTGTGAGTAGAATGGGAAGCAGCATTCATAGCTTAGATCATAACTACAACTGAATCAGATATCCAAACAAGTATCAGTCTTATAAAACAGGCTGATAAAAATAGATAAATTAGAGACGAAGGATTTTATGTACCATAGCTCTAAGCATTCAAGAGAAGAAGTAGAATTTTCAAATTGTGCTTCAGGATACCATCACGAAATGTTGCTTTTTTCACTCAGCTGGTAAAATAGAACAGAAAGAAGCCATTTAAACTAAATAACTAGTTTTAGAAACGACAAAAGCTCAAGAGGTGAACTCATAAATTAAAGATCATAAAATTGGCAAAGTAGTTGGCAGAGATGCTGCATCATCCTGCAGTTATGAATATGAGGAATTTATTTGCCTAGCTGCCGACTAAAATTATCAGATCAACAGTATGGAAGACAGAACTAGTTACTGAACAAGAAAGATTATAATAAATGAGCATGTCATACAGAAAAGTTGACCTTAGCCTACATCATTCAACTATAATCCAACTATTCGAAATAATACTCTTAGTTGTACAACCTCACAAAATCTCTGTCAGTCTGAATTGGTAGAATTAGTTTGTGGTTATTAATGACTTAGTAATTTACAGTTAAAAGTTGCTTCTGAACAATACAGTAGAATTAAACAGATTTATTCAATTACTTAATAAATGAATAAATTCTATTTTCAGCACTACCTAGAAAAAGGTAAACAACAACAACATCAGGTAACTATGATTAAGAACTTAAGTCATCCGACATCTGTTGGGTTACAACTAACCTACAGAATTCAGAAATTTTTCAGGATCTGAATACTCCGCATTCTGTTGAAGATGTTCTCATGACCAATGACATTGCACAGTTATTTCGTAATCTCCGGTGATGCATAACTTTTGTACAAAAAGCTCAAACAGATAACATCAAAAACGAGTTAGGAGATAGATATTTGATATTTATGTCTAAAGGTCTATTAAATTTTGACGCTAGATCAGATACTAAAGGGTGGTACTATACGAAACAGAATATATTAAAAATAAACAGTGAAACTAATAATTTTCGCATTAAACGTACATGTGAAAGTGGTCTGGGCCCTCGATCACACATTCGTTTACAGCCAGCTTCACAATGACATGATTTGACCGTTTCGTTTGTGTGACTGAAACATAAGGCAGCCGGTTGAATAGGAGCGATATCCAAATTGTCTTTTTGCCACATGTTCACGTTCCGATTCATATAATACTGCACAATTAAGAAAACAAGATTAGATTGTTAACATCAGGCAGCTGACAAATTAAGTATATAGCATTAAATGACTGAAGATACAATCTAAGGCTATATTACCGTTAATAGGAAGTCGGTGATTGTAACGACTAATCGCTGTTAAATATCATGTCGACTCATGCCTTTGGCAGTAATCGATAGGAATCCATTAGTGTCAGTGAAACGTTTGTGCATTGTAGAATAGATCATTAGTTCAGATGTCTATTTATCAGTAGTGTTTATTTTCAATTTCATAAAAGTTGCTGTAATTTTTGAATTCGAAAAATAAAGTCTACATCTACAGTGGTCTGAATTCAAAAGTGGTTATGGAACAGCTTAAATTTAAACATACACCTAAAAGTATGCGTGTTAAACTGATAAGCCCTCACATATCATTTAAAAAATTTCAAGTTAAAACTCACTCTTTCATACATCAAAGATGTTATTTAATATTGCTATTGGATATGTACATCGGTGTATCGTTTCGCTCTACTTAAAAACAGCTGATTCGTTTATTTAGTTTCTAGAAATAGTTACTTAATATCATTTTTACGGAATGTGATAACTTGAACTGCTACACCTTGGCACAAGGTTCCACGTTAAGCGTTATCATTGTGGTTGTTACTATCATTATGATCTTCTATTCCAAATGGAATATATCTGTTGCATTCTGTCGTCTGCTGGCAATTTGGTCTGTTTCTGTCATTCCTTAAAAGGCTTTATTTTCCTCCACACATGATCTTTTCCATGTCACTTTCGGACACCCAACCCGTCACTTCCCACTCAGACTCTCCACCCGAGGTATATGAAAGTGGTACTTCAAATTGTACTAAACTTGAAGTATTCAGTCCATTTTAACCATATTCCGAGAATGAGCTACATGTTATATGTAACGCTTTACTAACAAAACTATTAGTACAGTTTAACCTTCGACAGAACAATGACCTTACGTCTGACTAGCATATTATTTGCTTGAGCTCTCTGAGCTAAGATCATGTGTAGTGTCTGCCCATTATACTACCGACTTATTTATGAGTAAGTGGTGTATGAGCTAAAAGAAAAAAAGGATCGAAACAGGCAAAAGTGTCACAAAAGTCGTCGATCGGTGGACTTTTTAGTAAAGTAGTAAAGCCGAGCCTTGTGCTCCACTACAGTATTTGATCTGACATTAAGGAAGAGCTACTTATGGAAGCTGCAATAGCAGTGAGATTAAAAATACAAAATTCTAGGGAGCATTGTCTCAACTACACGAGTAACAGACTAAGATGTCAAGTCGAGCGAGAATCGGGAAGGCGAGAAACACATTCATCAACCTGAAACCAATCTGGAAATCTTCGTCACTCAGCATCAACAACAAAATTCGGTTAGGATTTTCAATACAAACGTAAATTCAGTCAGTTCTTCTATACGGATCAGAAACTTGGCGGGTGGGTCACACAGAATATTTCCAACAGCCTGTCGAAGACCTTTATCAACAACTGTCTTCGCTGGATCTATACTGACGATCAGATGGCCGGGCTGGAAAGAATCAACAACAAGAAACTATGGGAATAAACAAAACAAGAACCAATCGCCAACCAACAAATATGCAGGAGAAAGTGGAGATGGATTGAACACCCGTTGAGGAGACCACTGGGTGACATCGCGCGTCAGACCATTGCTCGAGTGGAACCCGAAAGGGAAGCGGCGAGTGAGACGTCGGTGCAAGGGTGACATGGAGGAGGTCGTGTGAAGAGGAGTTGAAAGAGTATGAACTAACATGGATGCAGGTGAAAAACACAGCAGAAGACAGAAGCAAGTGGAGACGTGCAGTTGAAGCCCTATGTTCCACTAGCAACCCAAGGGAACAATAATAATAGTAATGTACACTGACACAGGATCACAAAAATCGGGAGTATGCACAAGCTAACAATTAAAAGTTTATTTTATTTTTTATTTTTGATGACAGCTTGATTCCACACTTTATTTTTGGTACAAGTATGGAATTTTCAGCATGGATATCGGTAGCCCAAATTTTGCAGGCCGACCATAGACATCAGGTGTGCGTCGGCAGGGGATCGAACCTCGGACCATGTGCATGGTCGGCGAGAGTCCTAACCACTGTGCCACCGACGCACAGGTAATAGTAATACGACGATGACATGCTTTCAATGATGAACTTTTGTGCATCGAATCAACTTAGAAGTACAATACAAGTAGTCCAAAACCTATCAAGAATATACAAAATATTCTTTTTTTTATTGATGTTGAATGCGTCGGCGGCACAGAGGTAGAATTTCCGCCAACCAAGCAAGTGGTCCAGGGTTCGATCCCGGCCGATGCACTCCTTTACCTCATTAAACCATTGATGAGACTGGTAAACAGGGAAGGTTGAGCATGAAGCTAGCAGCCTCATCCCGTAAAAATAAATGTCACTGCTACCGAAACTTCAAAGCTCTAGTCTGAAGCCCTATGTTGCACTGGGAATGTAAAGGAGTAAAATAATAATAAATTGATGTTGAATAATGGGGGAAATTAGTCCAAAACACGTGAAGCTAACTTGATATTAAAGTGGACATCAAACAGTGTACAAAGTATAATCCAGGAAATTATACTGTATTTTTGTAGACAATATCAAATTACCTAAACTAATAGAGGAAGACAAAATAAGGAGGCACCATGAATATTTACTTGTCGTTTTATTTATATGTAGCATCCACTATCGCAGAAAACGTCAATTGGTGATAGGACGAAAAAAGTAGTAATATGTGGAATCTTCAAAACTGTGATTCAGGTAGAATTTTTTATCACATCCTAGTTAGGTACTCTTGAAACGCCGAAACGAAAGAACTCATAAAAAGACATTTGGCACCAACTTTGAAACCAGTGACTTTCAAAATGCAGCTTTTAATTAAAAGATGCACTAGCCGATTATCGTTAGGCAGTGTTTAGATTGATAAATATGGGGTGGTATTGAGGAAATTATGTCACGAATTCCGAGAATTAAAACTAGGAATTTAAAAGGTAACAAGTGTTAGAGTGTTAAGATGACTGCCATTGAAATTATTCATAGAACACATCAACTGAATTTCAGTGTAATACACTCTGAAATTTCTTAACAATGGGGATAAGTGATGGTCGATTTATTAGCCAAAAAGATGGTAAAAACAATGAAACTCAATCAAGCCGCTGCCTGACGAATGGAAAATGGATCTTCACACTATTAACAGTCGCAATTGTTTGACAATAAGAACAGTGAGAAACAACTCTATTTCACCTGCCGATAAGAATGTTTGTAGTTATGGTTACTACAAAACCGATAAACATGCTTATCAATAAAAGTGGTTAGATTTTATTGGTTATTCTTAGTAAACAAGTGCCTCTGCTCCATAGACTGATGATACTAAAGACAGCAATATAGAAGTTATTATCACACTTAGTAGTTAATTTCGGTGCTTTGTTAACTTATTTGAAGTTGATTTCGCTGTACCAAGTGATGCTCTAAAACTCAGTTTACTCGAACTTGGCTAATATTTCAATTATTATTATCATTATTATTGATTTAAAACCTAGAAATTCACGATTCCGATGTTCGATATTTAAATACAGATCACTCCTGAATACTCGATATAAGATACGACCGAAAGAACATGTCTATGTTTAACATACATGGATATTGTTAACGATCTTGACTTAAATCATTGATAGATTAACCAGTTTAAAGTACTCCTTTTCATAATCAGTTTTAACTAGCATGATTCACAGACATTCGTAATGAACAGCTAAATCATCTAGAATAAGATTTTAAATCAACTATAAAAAATATTGTGATGATTATTAGCGATTACTGCAACTTTCTAAGTGGTTTTGAACCACACTAACCAAGATTACCTAGAAGTAGATCCAGATTCACATCTAATATAAAAGTTAGTCTTACGTTGAGCTAACGATGAAGTTATGAAACTATCGGGGGATTTCAAATAACAACACTACAAAAAATGCACATATTTCCAGATAAAGATAAACGGATATGATAAACAGTTACAATTACATCTCACATTTAATATCAGTTTCATTATATACTTCAAAGTAAACTAGTGAATTTAGGACGAATAAAAAACAAGAAAAAGTACATAACACTTGTGTCATTAAATAACCATTAACATGATGAAAGGAAATTGAAATCTTTAGTAAAATTTTAGGAATTCTTGGGTTTTTATTATCATTAAGAATTTCAAAATGAAGCTAAAACTCCTAACAACTCTGTTTGTCCATTATATTAGTTCACAGTTGTAGAGCAGAGTACTTATTCCATCAGAGTTACCTAAACATTCTGTGAATAGATTAATAACTTCATCTTAGAAAACCACTAGCCGCTGCATACCTTGAATGATAGTGCTACTGACAAGATTTTATAAGTAGCATACGGCATATTATGTCGCCTGTAAGAATATTCAATAGCGGAGGGGTAGATTAAGTGGTGAAAAACAGTAATAAAAAGAGCCATGTGAAACGACAGAGAGAACAAGAAAGGAAGACAAAAGAAGCATAATACAGAGAACATGTGCAAGTGGATATATTAATGTGAGATATATGTATTTTGCCATATCTCTACATCAGTTAGTCTAAAAAACAGCTAGGCTACCGAATACTGTAGCGTTCTGCTATTACAACGTCACTTCCACCTATTTTATTTACTTTAGTAATGAAAATAAATGACAGGGTGACCAAAGAGTGTAATTCTTGAATAGCTTTTTTCAAGGTTATATATCGTTTTGTTGTTAGTTCATGTGACTGATTTAGAAACAGAAAGATGATGTTTTACTTCCACGAATGTTAATGGTAGGTTTGATGAATACTTTTGTAATTTTCACGTGAAATAAATAAGACTCACTTATAGATTAAGAATTAAACAGATAACTCACTGGAACACAGTGCATGGGAGAAGGATGGTCCAGTACACTTACCTCTGTTGTTTTTGCAGTTTCGTTTAGTTCATTATACAAATGTATTTTAATGCTGGGAGAAGATGGACGAAACACTTCTTTCGTGTCGTATTCAGTTTGAGTTGAACGTTCAGACTGTTGTTTGGATACTTGGACTTCGTGATCGTGCAAAAGTGAAACACTACTCATATTACAGTTTTTACAGTTTATTGAAGGAAAGTGCTTTGATAAATCCGTACTAACATACTATGGAATATAATCAGAAATAAAATATTTAAAGTCGACTATTTCATTTACAAATTTTATATTAACTTTGACTAAAATAGACTAGATTGCTGCAGTTAATTACTTGAGAATTGCAATATATTCAGTTTTAAGGAAGTTTTTATTAGGCATAGAGATCAAAGAAATACTTAGAACCAGAGTGCTTTATCGCATCGTCTTTTCCTACTTTCGGGTGTTACCGTCATAATATTTGAAAAGACTTATTTACGTTACATTTATGCCGCTAGTAAAACTCTCTACAAACATTTCCTCACGATTATAACGACTTGATAAGGACTCCAGATTAAACAATCGTCATCTGAGATGATAACTACAAACCCGGTTCGAACGCCGGCGGGTGCGTACAGTGAAGAGTACCCAACTGGGACGAAACAGCTGTCCAGTACTCCCAGGTTTTCCAATGGTTCTCTAACTAACGTCAGCTCATGATGTAAACCTGTACCCAATCAACCAAATCCCTACAAACCAATACTTGAATTATTGTTTTCATATAAAACATGAGCATTTTAGGAACTGATTAACTGACTGCTATCAACGTAGAACTTTGAACCTGATATGTATCCATATAATATGTGTTTTGTTTGACAGTCTGTTCTTGGTGATATGTATCCATATATATGTGCGTTTGTTTGACAGTCTGTTATATTTGCTATGTATATATGGATCGATATTCCATTATAATTAGCCAATCATGTTAAGACTGTCTATTGATTTGTTCATTTTGAATATTCGTTCACACACTTGTTCGGACATTTATATATTTTGCTCTCACACACTTGTGTGATTTTGATTCTCCTGGTGTTTTGGAAAATAGAAGTATCATCGCAAACCTAGTGGTCTTCTGATTTCCGTCTTTCTTGCGTCAGGACTATTAAATTCTCGACCAGTACATAACAGAACCTATGTGCAGTAGTTGGAGTCGCCAAACTCTCCCCATGTAGCACACAAAGTAAGAGAAAACAGCTTCAAAAGAGAGGCAAAAAACAATAGTAATATGGAAGTACAATAGAATTTTATTGGATGCTATATATCACGGAGAGTGAATGCGTCTGCGCCAGCCATTGACAACGACGATTTTGAGCCATATCACCAATTGTCTCCACCCATTGGTTTTTACCATCTCAAGGAATCCAATCAGGAAGTCTACACCTCCTTACGTGGCTGGCTTAAACTAAATGTTGTGGATTTCATTGACTAATGAAGCCATGTTCTCGTCTGACCACCGCTAGCTAACTCTTTTCTAACCTGATCAATCCTTTGTCAGCTAGCATTGTCCATCAATCAAGGCGATCGATGGCTAGGCAGGCGTAACACATGTCCCAACCGTTTCAATCGATGTAACTTTACAAACTTGTTGATGGATTTCCCCTCCTTACCTAGTACTCGACCGAAGTCTGACCTCAATATTGCTCACCCTATCATACCATTTCCCACGGGAGATAGAACCCAGGAATCTATGACTAAAGACAGCTAGCTAGCCTTTCCACGTCTTCCACTTCCAATGGCAATATCTCACAGCCATAAAGGAGAAGAGAAAGGACTTCTGAGCACTGCGCACGCCCTTTGGTCGATAGCCACCGAGACCGAAACCTGAAATAGTTGGAAAGAAACCAGTTATTATCTGTCTAGTGGACAAATACGCTTATTAGCGTACCTGTCGAGTTCATTACTGTTATAAAAATTAGCAGCGCAGACATAACAGCTAACGAGCACACTGTGTTGTAATGTTGAATGAGTCTAGCGGCCGGAAATGTTCTTTTCAATACAGTCCCAATTTTGTTTTCCGTTCTTATGGATACTTCTCTTTTGTACGCTAGACAATAAAAACTGGTTTCTTTCCAAATATTGCAGGTTTCGGTCTAGGTGGCTTATTGCTTCGCATATTTTGATATAAACTTCCGAGAGTATCCACTTTCGATAAGGTTCTTTTCCATGACTGCGATCTTATGCATACAGAAAGACAGTGTGACTAATTCCTCACTACCCTGGTAGCCATAATTGTTTTGTTCATATGCTTTTGTTTTTTGTTCTGTTGCGTAACATCCTACTCAATTTTGATTTTCACTCACTGAGTTGAACTCGCTATTAAGTTTCCAAATCTACTAAATTAAATTATTTTATCTACTTTATAATTTTACTTAATTATTTATCCCCAGCCTCCTGAACAACCCACCATAATATGTATAAATAAACTCCGTTGTTCTATCTTGTATTTTGTCACTAGTGCATCCTTGTCTCCAAGCGAAATCAAAACTCTACCCCTTTGTCTAATTACTATATAAAGGGTTACTCTTTTAACACTAAATAATTGTCTACTTACATCATCTTTGAAGTTATGTTGTTCATGCTTTCCATCTATAACTTGAAATCCCTGTAAAAAGTATGTTCAGAAATTTTGTATTATATTATAATTGATTTATTTAGGATGTATGCAGTTGAAGAGAATCCACCAAATAAAACGAGCTCTTAATATCCTGCAAATATGTATGTTCTTTCTTCATTCAAACAGCTTAATGAATACAACACGTGGTTAGCTCACATTAGATTTTATATGATTATTTATTTTCTATATATGTTGATATCATTACCATTTTACTACCACTTCTTTACTAGTTTATTAATTAACTCAGTAACTTACAGTTGTATTCAATGCAGACTGGTTGGAATTTTCTGGTTGAACATGCCTCAAAAAAACACGTAGGCGGACATTACCAATAACATGCCCTGACACATTGAGTATAGGATACCAGCCTTTAATCTAGAAAAAATTTGGACGAGATAAATGAAGATAAGAAAACAACTAGTAGATCATAAAACAATAAAGTATAAAAAATGATTTTGAAAAATACCTGGAAACTCTCCTGAAAACACTTGCTTTCTTGATTAGAGCCCGTGTAGTATATTGCTGCAATCAAACAAGTTACTTTTGAATTTGTTACCATGCGGAAATTGAACCAAATATTAGGAGAAAATAGATGAAGTCTTGAAAACACCATGATTACGGTAGCTACCAAGGTCAGTTTGAATCTCACATAATTCTAAGTTCCTTTTAGATCCCATATACACCTTCAAGACGAACCCTGATAAAGAATGAATTGAAGTCTTTGACTTTTAATATATATTCTCTATCAACAAATACAGAGCACTTAAGTGTTTTATGAAGTTAGGCTGAGCTTCTTTATTGGATCCGACGTCTTATTTACCCTCAAGACATGCTAATTGCTAGGTCAGAAGGAGGCTAAGTGTTTCCCACAAGATGTGTAAACTAAACACCCAACCCTAGCCTAGATTTCAAGTCATGCCATTGCATTTTTATCGGTATATCCTATTCAGCAAAAACATAGTTTTCATATCTTAAACTTGTAATTTATTGGTCATGTGCATTAAGTTTATACTTAGGTGTAATTTCTGATCTTATTGGCGTTCTCTAGAGCAATAGATATTCACCCTCTAAGTCCACCTTTCATATCTTCCCATTGTGGGAATAGCAGTCGAGTGATCAGTAGTATGTTGTAGTGCGTTGAAGTATCAGTAGAACAAACGCAAATCACTGTCACAACAACAATTAATTTTTTTGTAATACAATACGTAAAATAAAGTATCGAAGAACTGGTTTGAATTTGTCATAAACAGAAATAATGTCTATGCACTTAATACTGCTAGCTTTTCGACGAAGTTATCAATTGGGCTGTACATTCATGTATTTATAGTAAGTGAGAAAATCCCAGAATTATTTCCGGTCAAGGGTCAAATTAATAAAACTGCAAAGTGTAATAAACAGGAAGATCGAATATAAACACAGTAGGATTATAATTGCTGAGAAAATTGACTTTTTGTGCCATAAAGTATTAAAAAGTAGTAATAACAAAGTGGACAGTAATTTCAGACAAAAAAAACAGTAATGCAGATAGGGATTGCAAAACGTAAAAATAACAGAAATAAAAAGGAAGATTGGATAAGAAAGGTAATAGGATAATCACTATTGTCTTTCTATGATGGCCACGGTAGAGGCAACAGTTGGATGTATTTCTTTTGAATACAAAGCGTGAGCATGGACTCTTGGATCGCTAGTGCTTCAATTCACGCTGATTATCCTGAAGAGGATATCGAAAAGGATATTCTTCGCTCAAATTTTCTTTTCCCTTCTAAATGTCTTAACGAATAATTTCGCTATATTAATATTTATGGACAGTAGTATTGTAACAAGAGAAGACAAGGGCCAGGCAACAAATCGTTTATTTAGGAAATCAACAGATATTTATAGATTTTCATGTACATTATTATAGATTATTGCAAGCAAACAAACACAGTCTTCTGATAGGTGATTTCTCGTTGAACAATAATCTTTCATCTCTTTGTGGCCGTTTATTGAAATTCAGATTATCTATCTGCAAATTGTATCCGCCTACGCAAAGTTTGCTGTGGTTGGTTGTTGACCCAGTCTTTGTTCTTGTTTTTCTCACGACGAACATTGGGGCCGTAAACATTGACGTAAATTACTGTCTACCACTTTTGGCTAGCAGTCAGCTCTCACCACAGTATTATTTTATTTCTACCCTTGAACTGATGCTGTTCAATGCGAAGATCTAAACTGATCTATCAATCAATCAGTTAGTCATATCAGCCATACACATTCATAACCTCTTCAACGGTCAAATTCGAAATCCTTGAGATCAGTGATGAATGGACTGCCTTTTGTACTAATTTTGACAACCGATGGAAAATGTAATTGGAATTCATAGAGCTAATATATTACCAAGTCTAGTACTTACCGAAGTTTTATAGGATGAGTACACTAGGATCCTTTTCCCAGTGAATAAAATCTTTAATCTTTAAAGTTAATTAACTGAAGTTTAATTTCATAGATAAAAGTCAATCAGCTAAAAAAAATTACGACCTTGTTTTGATCGTTTGAGCACTTTTATATAACGCATTTCGAGAACTCAGACTTTTTTGTACAGAACAGCTTAATTTAACTCAAGGCCCTCGATTTTTTAAATGGATTTCGTATTTAAACGGACACAATTAAGGAAATAAAAATGTCTTAATTGTTATAACAATTAAACTGTGATGATTAACTGGTATACTGAAAATATTTGAGAAAAAAAATACTACCTGTGAATTGCCATTTGCATGGTGAGCTGACCTAGGGTTATTAAACAGATACGCGAAGTCCTCCAAAGATATAACACATAATCCAATAAAAGTCCGATGGTTTGTCTGGATACTCATAATGGATTTATCACCGAAGACTAAGTAGAGAGGTGTGCCGGACATCAGCAGATGACTGAGCTCATCCACGTCACACTGGAATAAAGCTGATTTATTGCATTGTACCGAAAAAATGCAATGATCCTAGTTCGCATTCAAAAATACAAATACATTACAAATAATGAAAGACTATGAAATTCTTGACTAACTCATAAACAAGTTTAAATTGGTTATGCATTTAAATTAGTTTGCGGTTTAGTTCGAAAGTGGATCGCATTCGGTGCCATTTTGGATTCACTAATTGGACTGGTAACTGCACTCTTTAATCCTAATACCCTATAAGGCTATAAAGGAATACAACGAAAAGTAAAAAATAATCGTTCAACTAATCTCTTATAGTAGATGATTACGGTAGTTACAATTTATTAGTTTGTCTATAAATTTAATGAAGACCAGCTTTTGTCGTTGAATTTGAAGTTATTGACAAACTAGTGATTGTAAGAAAATAGCTAAAACAGATATTTACTGTTTTCATTTCTTCAAGGATTTCAATGAAAACATGCTTAATGTCCTTTGTACTAAAACCAGTCTTTGAATAATCATTATTCAACCAGAATAAACTCAGTTAGGCTATTGTGATAAACAAATTCAGATACTTACCCATGACAGAGAAATTAAAACTCTATATACTCACTTAAAAAATGTCAGCTAGTGTAAAAAGAATTACAGAAAATATAAAAGTGCCTACCGTCCTACTGAAGTCGTATGTTTAACTCGGAACCCAAGGGAATAGTAATATGATAATATATAACCGTGAAAGTAAATATCTTAAGAATAGGCGCAATATTTATCACCGAGTTTTGTCTCAACCCAAACTATTAACTTGATATAGTAGCTTGTTTTGTACCTTGCAATGATTCGATGGGCTTTACTGGTTGAAATGAATGTTCCTGTAGGTTCCACTAAGTCAAATAATCATTAGAATAGCAAATTGACTGAAGGTAGTTATCACCAGAATGTAAATTGTTTACGATGTCTTTGGAGCCTTAAAAACGAAGTCATATTGCTAGCCAGTTGTGCTCTAACAGTATTACAGTGTTTCTTTTGGATAAGTATCAGGGTGGGTATGCTGTTTTTCCGTTATGGGGGTGAGAAATTAGAAAAGTTCAACCCCAAAAGTCCTACATCCAGACATACCTAGCAGCGGTCTGTAGCCGACGAAACATTTAAACCCCAGTAACCAAAAGGTTGTATGAAACCGGTCTTTGTTGTTACCAATATCATTACCCTTTCGGGTACTTCAGAAAGAAATCAACTTCTACGGTGTTGGCAACCTGGAAGTAGCAACCCCCCAAATACTTCCAATATCACAAGAAGTTTGTAGAGGTAAATAATTCCGCAAAATTATTCACCTACAGCATTAACCACTGAGCACTGGATTCCGAAATTCACTGTTTAAGTTGACTCGTTAGGCTGAAAGTTTGCCGTCAAACACCCACACCATCTAGCACGCCGTCGTGCTCCGTCCACTAGTTTGTGCATTATTCCTAGCTAGCCAAATAGTTGTTATCGTACTATGATTCTGATCTTGAAATAAATCTTGGATTTCGCACGATCAATTTGGTGTTTTGATTTACCTTTGGTCTACACAGAATAAATACTATAGGGAGTTTGGGGATAAGAACACGTGTTTGTATAAATCATACTTTGCTTGAACGTTGACATCCCTTAATCTCCTAAAAGTTGTTATGTTCATCACACAAGACCTTTTCCTTACTGCCCTTATTAATACTATTGCAGAATTAAATTTTTCATCTTCTCTTTACTTTTACCACTGTTACGAAATTAAGCCAGAGAGAAATCAGTATTATTCCCTTAAAACCATGCTTCTAACTCTACATCGAAGCTTCCAGAAGACCTTAAGCCAAAAACAAAAAACGTCTTACTGGTCATAACTCTAGTCTATCGGGCCTTAGATGTATGTTGTGTCTCTGTGACACGTTTGAAAGAACCATGCTTATTAACCTAACCTAGTATAGCCAATACCATGAATCAACAGACTTCATGCTACTGGTGTCAGAGGATCCTTTGGCTAATGCTTGCGGACTACCTTGCGTAGGAAGGAGAAAACTCTATACGCGAATAAATTCCAGTAGAAATCCCAGAGTTTGCTGTTCCAATGAATGGATTTGTAAGGATAAGTAAAAATTATGATGATCGTCGACAGTTTTTCCTAATCTCCGCTTACGTTAACGAAGATGAAGAGGAAGTAAAGGATGTATTTCATCAAAAGCCCTCTAGTTTGCTGTCTAAAGCGAAACGCTCAGATACAGCCGTCTTAGCAGGTGATTTCGATGCTCAAGTAAGAAATGGGGTTCAAGAAGTAAGTTGAGGGTATCTATGGAGTCCCATGCTGATGAATCGACAGCGGTGTCCCTGTTTGGGTAACAACCATTTTCCTGGTCAGTACTAATTTCAAACACAAGGAAAGACAATGTCTCATCTGGTGAATCAATACATCAATCCGACGATGAGAACAAACAGATTATTATATATCAGTTGGAGAAAGCCAGTTGAAAATACCTACTCTCTCTGAGTCATCCGGAGCTTGAGTGTTATATAGCGGTTCACTAAATCTTAATCTGCAGATGTGAAAAATGGCTGTCAAAGATAGACGAAATGAAGAGACAAGCGGTTTTTGACTGTCTGTGTTTAGGTTCAACCTATCGTATTAGATGGAGCAATATAGCAGGGTTAGACACTGAGGTAAAGAGGGAAAGTCAGTCAATAAGGTTGTGAACATTCATGCATCAAAGTGGACAGGATAAAAATTACTCGTGCCAAGCCATCAGCTTCATCAATGAGATATTCTATCTGAAGTAAAACGATGTTGGAATGTATCCAGGGGCTGTCTGACTAAAACCCAGCATAAGTCCACAAAGTCTCTGAGTGCTGCGCTAAGCCGCGAAGACTGGCCAGCTGGGGTCGACAAAATTATTGTTATTATTATTGCCTTCGGTTCCGAATGGAACATATCGCTTCAACAGCACATCACTTTCTAACCGTTCTCTTCATTCCTCTTTACCTGACTCAACGATTGCCTAAGAACTCTCATCTCCTTCTTACTCCCTTCGGACGTCCAACTGGCCGATTCTACACTCGCGTTCCACTCGAAGGCCTGATAAGAGATGTCATTCAGTAATCTCCTCGCTGTGTGTCTGATCCATCTCCGTTTTCTGCAACGTATTTGTTGGGCAACATGTTCTTGGTTGGTTCGTTCCCAGAGTTTCTTGTTGACAATCGTTCCTCGTATTGAGAGAAGGCAGCTGTCGATAAAAATCTGACGCCTGTTGGAAATGGTTTCGGTGACACATCAAGGCTCTGAACCATATAGAAACATTGAACGACTTGAAGTTAGAATTAAAAATCCGAATTTCGCTCTTTATGCTTTGTACAGATTCAGATAAATGAAGGTTTGTCTTGCTTTTCCAGTCCTTACTTTGATATCTTCATCTGTGCTGCTTGTAGTTGAAAGGATGTTGCCTATATGAGTGAGAGTCATAACCTCCTTCAAATTCCTCCCATTGATAGTGACTGATACCTTTTGCTCTTGGTTAGGTATCTTCATCACCTTTGTCTTCACTATGTCCCCTTAACATCTTGTCTTCGTTGCTTCATCTATCATCAACTTGTTGGTTTACGCTTGTGGATCTCCTAGCTTTTGTGATATTAGACACATATCGTCGGTAAAGTTGAAATCTTCTTGTCAACCCAATGCATATTTATCTTCTCGCTCCCTATGGTCTGTTGTACAATCCAGTCCACCACAATCAGAAATATCCTTAGTGATAGTGGGTAGATTGTGTTCACTTCAAACGCTTCATTTTATGTTATCCGTTATGAATCACTTCGTATGTGGCATCATCAGATATCTGTTGAATGGAGTTGATAAAAGTTTAAGGCAATTTTTAGTGTTGGAGCAGTTTCCAAATTACTTCACCGACAACACGATCAAAATCAAAGAAGATGAGGCAGAGATTCGACCATCTATGCTCTTCTCGATGATGTCGCCACTCGATCTACACGTGATTTTCTTTTCCTGAATCGACGTTGTTCCAAGCAGAGTTTTACATCCAGAACATCTTTCATTCTCTTTAGGATGAGGAAAACTATTATTTTACTCAACGTGGATAGGAGCATTATACCGCATCAATTTTTGCAAACGCTTAAGTCGGTCTTCTTTGGAAGTTTGACATGGTAGCTTTTCTTTCTATCAGTAAGTACCTTACTTTCCGTCCAAACTGCTTGTAACATGACGTGAGTATATCCACTGAGGTATCCGGATGCACTTTAAGTGCGTCTAGGGGAATGCCATCTGGTCCTGTTACCTTCTAAATCGATGAAGTTAAGGTGACCAAGATGTTAACAGTCAACAGAGACTGTTAGCGATCGTCTGGATTTTAAAAATGTACCATAATCTTCATTTAATGGTTTGTCTTGTGGCATATACTCTTGCATCGTATTTGCATTATATTTCCCTCCTCTACTTTTATCTGTGCTTCTCCAAAGTGTTGTAGATTGAAGTGACACAATTCAGTGCAAATTTCTGCGTTGATAATTCAGTTCAATCAGGGTGTCATCAAACATCTATAAAACTCTCAATTGACGAATAATGATCTTCACACTTCCACCATAGTCCTTAAGAATAAACGACGCACCTAAAGAACAAACTTATATTTTTAAGTTTGTGTCGGACTAATTTTTTTACACTGGAATAACTTTGAAGATCAAGGATCAGTTAACAGCTGCTTGATTCTCATTTAAAATCTTTTAGTATTGCACACACATGACTGTCTTAGGGATCGAAGCCAAGACAACTTACATACACCTCAATGATGAATCATTCGACAGCTCATGATTTCAAGCTTCGGACAGTCAACTATCAAGTGTCACTTCATTAATCACAATTAATAAGTATCTTTCTCTAAAATTCATTTAAATTATTTTGTATTATTATTTATCCCTTGTGTAATAAGTTGTACATAGAGCTTCATGGCATATCTAAATTGAAATCGATACTGTGCCCCCAATCTCAGCTGTCTCGACGATTTTCCACAAACTCCCACCCCCCTCTACTGCATGTCACCCTCGAACGCACATCTACGCCGTCGTTTCCTATTTCGGTTTCACTTCACGCCCTGGCGTGTAATATTGTAACGACAGAAGACAAGGGCCAGGTAAGTGATCGTTTATTGAGAAAATCAGGAAATATTTATGGACTTTTATGTACATTATTATTAACGTTATTATTAGCACAGAAGCAATGTATTCTGATTGGTTGTTTTCTTGCTGAAGGTTATCCTGCAGTGCCTGTGACCGTTTCTCAGAAAGTTAAGGCACATATCCGCGAATCATAATTCTACACGTTAAGTCTGCTGTGATCGGTTGGTGAGTTCCTCAAGGTTAGTCTTTGTTATTGTTTTTTCCCGTGACCCCGATTCGGGAGGTTAATATTTCCGTAAACTGTTGTCTACAATTTCGGCTCTCACTACAATATCACTTGAATGTCTCCACAGTGTATGTTCAATTCATCTAGAATTCCTCCTGTGTATTTTTTGGTAATACATTATCGATTGCTTCGCTGCCATATTCTCTTGTTGCTCATTCTTTCCGACCACCTGGTATTCTGCATAGAGGAAAGGAACATCTGATGAAAATCTGCAGTAACCTGTTTGAAATGCTTTCACTGGCGCGCGTACTAAGCCTCTGAATTATGTAGAAACAAAGACTTTAAATTAGTGTTAAAAATTCCCTGTGATTTCAAAGTAATGAACGCCTGTCTTGCTTTTCCAATCCTTTCTGACTTTGACATCCTCATCAGTAACTCCTGCTTGTAGCTGATACAATGCTGGTCAAATAATTGAAAGAGATTACTTTATTTCAGATATGCCATATTGATGGCAGTTGGTGTTTGTTGTTGGTAAGGAACCCCACCTAGTCTATTAGCTAGTCTTTAGTTCAGAAAAAAGGGAGGGTTAAGTTTGGGGCTAACAAGCCGCCTCTACTGAAACTTTAAAGCACAGGAAGAAAAACTGCAGCTAGCAACAGTAAGTTTATTAGAGTGGTGTCATTAGCTCCGGTACACAATGAACCAAATTTCACTATCAAATACCACAGACGCACATGTCAATAATACTTCCTTTCTGTTTTAAAGTTATCAGTTTAAAGACTGATTTATTCACTTACTTGGTATGGCTCGATATATTTTGGCTCATGAAATAACTCAAAAGGTTTAAAGTTAGCAAACTTGACGATAGCCCATAATTTTTGTATGCTCAGTGAACTGGATAGATGGACATCCCAAACAGATAAATCCAAGAGAAATAAATCCATTAACATTAGTGATCCAGTGTCACAAACAAGATATTTGTCCACTAGAATAAAAACAAACACATAATCAGTTAGTCTGTTGATCAACTCTATCATAATATTAGAAAAATATGACAACTAGCTGTCAGAAGTCGTCAGTTCAGTGAAACACGATGTACCTCAATCAACTGCCTGAATAGATTTTGAACGTGAAAATTATGTCACGACTGATCTTTAACAAAGTTCCATAGCGTGGTTGTGTAAAGATAATCAATAAAGTTGGAAAATTGCTATGCAATAACTTGATTTCCCGGGGTAAAATGTTCACTATAGTGGTGTAGTTCATTGTTAAATAAATTTTAAGACATTTCTGTAGCCATGTTTGATGTTTGAAGACAATTAAAACTCCATACAAATATGACATAAAATAACCCAATTCACTAGCAGAGCTTATAAGTTTGTATTCGAAAGTTGAAGAAAAACATGATGAGAAATGTTGTGTATTTAGACTTACCACTGAGTGTTCATGCAGAGTCGCTAAAATCTTTGAAAGACCGACCCCTTACTAAGGCGTTTTAGATCAAAGTCCAGGAAGCCAGGCCTCCCTTAAAAATGCAGTGTTAATTCAAGAAACAAAAGGCCCACTAGCAGTGTAGTACAAAAGTCAGAAAACCAGTATAAATATCAGCGAAACAGCCTAGGAGTGATTTAAATAAATATGGACTACATGATGTACAAAACTGGAATGTCAGCAAAAAAATCAACAGCGATCCAGTGTGCGACACCAATATAACGGCTGGCTGGGACGGACAACGACAATATGAAATCAGTCTACTGAGATATCCTCAATAAATTGCTGACTTGCCATGCATATGATGGGGTTCAACCTCCCAAAAACAAGATATTATAAACAGACAGTAGTAACACTGATATTTACCTGTTTTTCAATCGCCAATATCTTTCAAAGTATACTTTCACAAATATAAAAAAATATTGTTTAACGGAAAAAGAAAGGTTAACTAGAATGAAATCCTGAAAATTCCAATCTGCATAAATATTGTTTGGAGTAATTACTATTATGGTAAGGAGTAGAGGTATATGTCTGATTTTTGTTCAAGTGGTTTTGGAAAAAATTCACTTAGAATATAGTTTTTGATTTTCCATCATTCAAATTATTTAGGTGAATATGAAACTACACTTTGAAAGTCACTCCTTATGGGAATACCTCATAACTCTTGGCTAATTCATCATGATATATTTTATTCGTTTCTAAGTGGACAAAACACAAATAATTGGCTAACATTATTTAATTATACTTATCCTCGTTATTGATACGTAACGTGGAGAAAAATAATCCAATTGGTATGTTTTCAACAGCCTTGATACTCATAATGCCAATGCACATCATACCATATAAACTCAAACAAACTGGTAGACCTATTATACCTGACGACTTTAAAAAAATATACATTTGCAAACAGTTTGCAGTACACTTTCTCAAGATTGATAGCAAACGCAGACTACACGTGAAATATAAACTTCTTCACACAGTAAGTTAAAGACAGTTATACAAATCGCAAAATAATCTGTAACCTACCGTTGTGAACAAATCCAAAAATTAAGCTCCGTGTTAACTTCAGCAAGCTTGACAGAGAAACGCAGGAATTTGTCTAATTCCTGTGATAGTAAAGGAATTAGACAAATTCCTGCGTTTCTTTGTCAAGCTTGCTGAAGTTAACACGGAGCTTAATTTTCTGAAACGATGCATCTGTAAGCATGAGTATCCAAAATCCAAAAATATTTTCGGCACTTGATGAATATCAGTTTAGTAGATATGATCACACATGATTAGTAGGCTTGATATGTATGAATTCATACATCCGTTGGAAAGAGCACATTTTGAACTAGTGCACACGCGAAAGCAGTCAGTAAGAGATCACTATCAAACCAGTCATATCACTCACTTGTTGTTATCTCTTCTCAATTAACGCGCTCGTTATCGGAGCTGCTTAATACCAAACACAGCCCTAGTAGGCTATACACACAGATGGTAAAATACAAGTACATTAGCATGGCAAGAGACTGGACCACGGTATCCTTATTCATGTTAACTTCAAAACGGCCAATTTGGTGAACTTTTAACAGTCTCCTTAATTTATGTGCATTGTCGAATATATATCACATCCTTTACGACTGACTACTCTTATACAGATACATTTAGGGTGGGGTGAAGTCAGGTCAACTCTCTTAAATAACCTTATTTAATTAATGGATATTAGGTTAGATTGCAGTGCTACGGACAACTCCATTTCAGAAAGTGTGTTTTGAGACTACAAGCATTCGTAAAGAACACAACAGTACCTGTGTATTCGTCTGAATTATGAAGAGAGGCTCTCATTACATTGGTTTCCTACACTTCATCAGTAGGAAACCCAATATCTTCAGATATCCTAGCCTTTTTTTCAGCTAAGCATTCAGTGCCACAATTGGTTTATACTGTAATTTTGTCTCCGAAAGAACAGTCAGGTCTGATTGTGATATTTCTTTAACCTAGTATTCGTGATTAGGAGTGTTATCCCTTTCTTCTTAGTTAACCGAAACCATATCAACTATGTAAGTACGTCGAAAATTTACTACTTATGCTCACGTATAAAACGTTTCAGATTACGTATAGATCAATTTCAGAAATGAAATGACGTCATTTTATTCCGTCCAAACCGTTGAACAACCAACCAATAGTTCTCAAAGTGCAGATTAGGATCCCTTACTTGACACTAACCCAAGACTACATAGATGTCCTCTTTAAAATGCTTGCACTTCGAAGTGCACGAAAGGTTCCACACAGAATATGTAGTGTGACGGCTGAGAATTGCATATGATATGATTGGTCTATCTAACCAGAGGCATGATAGCAAATAAGAATACTGAGAAAAAATAATTCAACAAGGAGGTAGGGGATGGTGAATTGGTGACATATGAATAGTGCAATGAATATTATATTTCGTTTGTGGAATGTCACTGAATTTGATTACAGTTCAGTTGAGACCACGTCACAAATGAGAAAAAATTTATAAACCAGATAGGTTGTGCCTAATGTCTGTTCTACCAGCGATAGAAAAAAAAATTTTTGTTAGTGAAGCGTTTCGAAATTTGATAACAGCTCAGTTAAAATGAGGTCAAAAATGGAAAACCGAAACAATTTTGAGAGATCATATATGGCATGTTCAATGCACTTTAGACAACCGAAAGAATACAGTTGTCATGATTCATGTGTAAGAATTATTGATAACGTTGCACTTATGACAGGCCCCCCATTGAAAAGCAAAAAACTATTGGAACACAAAATTGGTTAAATACAACAGATGAAAACACATACTTGTCATGAATAAAATATAACGAATTTCGACTGTATTTCACTAATGAAAATATGAAAAACAAAAATTTAACACGAACCGAAGGTGTGGGGGCGGCTGAAAGCTGAAATCTCACAGATGAAAAAGGACACTTGTCATAAGTGAAATGTAAATTGCTTCGACTGCTGAGCTGTTTACGAGGTCATATATTAAAACCTTGGGAATCCAAACGAAACAAAGGGGCAGATTGTGTTGATTCGCAAATGAAAACAAATACTTGCTGTAAGGAAAATGTTAACAGTTGTGATTGCAGTTCATCTGTCATCCCTTTTCATATTTTAAAAACGGATGTTTGCCTAGAGGTATATAAGCGGCACTCCTTACATACATAGACCATTCTTATAGGATTTATAAATCATACAGGTGAGTTAGATTTTCGGTGTTTATTATTTATCCATTTCTATTATAAGGAAAACAACTCAGATAGTGTGTTAGATACGGGTATTCAACACTCTGCAACAAGTCGTAAGAGCAGAAAATCTTCAGCCAGAATGCATGAATGCCTTGGATACAGCTACTCTAGATTTTACCGCCGTTCAAAACGGTTACGTGATGCAGCATTTAGTGACTGGGACTTCTGGAAACGTTACTGCGCATCTAGGGAAGAGGTGGTAAGGGGTAAAAGAGTACCTTTGCCTTCAAGTTCAACTGTACAGGAAACAGTGGATATACCTACTGCTAGTGAGACCGTCACAGTTGTTTCACAAATTGAGGAGAACCGTAACATGAGTTATTATGTGATATATAATTTTGATAGAACTTCCGATTATTCCGATTATGGAATTGTTCTTATCATCCAATGTAACAGGGGCTGGTGGGAAAAGATCTTGGACTGTGTGCGTAAATTTAGTCCACATATGCCAACAACCATAAGAGGTTTGCTAAAAGACAGCGGCATGTGTGTACCTAGATTTCTTGAACTGAAGGAAAATCTGCAACGTTATCTAGATAGTTGGGTTGACTACAATACTTTTCAACATAGTGGCTTTCAAATCAACTATGACGGTTTATCTATATCGAACAGTTCTTCGAAGGAATTGTGGCCATTCCTAGGTCATATCACAACTCCGTACGTCAGCAACGTCTTCTTAATTGGCATACATGGTGGTTTGAGAAAACCGAATGACTTCAATAAGGTTTCTAGGCTCCTGTTAGTTGAATTGAAAGATCTTTATGAAAACGGTCTATATGTTGACAAGTGGGGTAGGAATGTGACTGTCAGCGTTCTGGTATTTATATTTGACACACTTCCTTGTTCTAATGTCAAACATACTGTTGGTCACAATGGTAAAACACGTTGTCTACAGAGTATATACCGGCATATACTCTGTAGACGTCCTAGGAATAGCTGCACACCGAGTACAAGCAATGATTAGATGATTTTCCCACAACATTTAATGTGTCATAAGTTAGATTTCGATACGACTTACACCAGAAGAGCCCGGCACTTACATGCTGTCGTATACGACACACATACACGTGCATGAGAAATCATTGCAGACTTACATATCCATACACTTTCTGTGAATCTGGAAGTCACCGTATATGTTACTGGTTGCAACGTGCGAAACAATTTTTAAAATGCATTCTGTAGGGTTGTAACCACTATCCTGACATCAGTATCCAATATCCTGATTACGAGCTAGTATAAACCAGTGATTTCTTTGAGCTCGCTTCTTGATTGTGAGGTAGAGGTTCCAGATCTTTGATGAGCTTCTGCGTAGTAAGTCCCACCACTCGACTGCTTTAGCTCTGGTAGACTCTAAGAGGACTGGTGCGGGGATTGGTCAAGATGTGGTTTGTAGTATGCAGTATGTTAGGACTGTATTGCTGTCGTGAATGGAGTTTGACCTAACTCCCGTTGGTCATTCGGTGTAGTCATAAAAGCAGAATAGTAATAATAATAATAGGTTGTAGTGTAGACAATATAGGTTGAGATAAGTGGAATAATAAAGGTGACCTAAGGTGACATCAAGGTCATAGGATTTGAACTTAAACACAGAAGTGTAAATATTCATCAGTACAGCATAACAATCCAACATCTTTTGACTAGCCTATAAAACCTTTATGGTTTGCTGTGGCGTATTTGTTGCTATAATGAGACAGTTCCAGTTCTTTCATGGATTTCAGTAGATTCCACACACTTTAAACTTCTGAGAACAGGAAATTATATAACACTACTAGAAATAAAGCTATTGTAGAAATCAGCCAATCAAGGATGAAGTTAGAAGCACATCTGGCTCAAAATGCAAAGGCACAACCTGATTAAATTTTCTTGTACATGATCTTCAGGAATAAAACATCCAATAGTGTCCCAAACCTGACTATTGACAATGATACAATCGGAGAAGATCAAGAAGAAACAGAAGAAATGGAGGGGTACTCCTCCGAAGTCATCAATCAGGAGTCATCACTCACTATAGGATCAACTCTGGCTGCATTAGAGGAACACGCGGCAGATTCCGTCGACATACACCAATATATCGGGCTTAACTGCCTGATGAAAATAGATTCAGGAAACTCAATGCGTCCGGATAATCTTCATGTGCGCCGGTGGCACAGTGGTTAGGGCTCTCGCCAACCATGCACATGGTCCGAGGTTCGATCCCTTGCCGACGCATACCTGATGTCTTTGCTCGGCCTGCAAAATTTGGGCTACCGATATCCATGCTGAAAATTCCATACGTGTACCAAAAATAGAGTGTGGAATCAAGCTGTGATCAATAATAATACTAGAATTAAATTTCTACGCATTGGACAAGCCAGCACGAGTTCCTACAAACTAGAGTGGATATCACTTCCAGTTCAGACTCACTTGGACTTAGGTGTCTTAGTTAGCCATGACTTGAAAACTTGTGATGATTGACTATTTCTATCTTTGTATTGTTTAAATACTTACTGTTGATTGTTAATATTTCATATATGAATTGCATAAGAATTCCGCTAAATACAAATTCCTGATTGCTGCCCTCTCTGTGTTTTGTTTGGATTCTTGTAATTCGGTCATCTCGAAATACTAATATTCAAAGTACAATAAATTACTACAAATTGGCGTCGCGATGGAGCTAAGTAACCTGGGAAAATTCCCATTAATGGTCTCCGCGGGAGATTGCTGATTATTTGGAATGCTTCGATGCGTGGTGCATTTCCAAGAATGTTCGGGATGACAAAATACCAGCACATTTCATCACTGCTATTGGGCTAGATGCATATAGCCTGGTGAAGAATCTGGCGTTTCCAGATAAACCCATTTCTCTGTCATATGACAAGATCCGTGAACTTCTGACAAATCACTTTCATGTGACTACATTTGAGACCAGAGAGAGGGCTCACTTCAACAAACTGGTTCGTGCTCCCAACCAGAAGATTAGAGACTTCATTCTTCAACTTCAAATTCAAGCTTCAAAGTGTAACTTTGGAGATCAGCTGCATACTCAACTACGTGATCGTCTAATTGCTGGAATCAATATTCCTAAGTTAGAGAAAGAGTTAATTCAGATTCCTTCTTGTACTTTCAAACTGCTAAAGATTTATGTATTACATATGAAGATGTCAATAATGAATACTCTGCTCCCACTACGTCAGTATCTGATGTTATGCTTTCTAAAGTCGAAAATACAAGTGTTCATGGAAAGCAATCCAAACTGTCGTCCACAGGTAATAGAATGCAGCGAGAGATCAAAAACATTAAACCGTGTTTATCCTGTGGAAAGTTACATCTACGAAGCACTTGCCGTTTTCGGAGTGCTAAGTGTCACAAATGTGGTAAAGTTGGACACATCAAGACTGTGTGCAGAAGTTCGAATACATATGTTACTGAGAATCCTGATAATTCTTCCAATTTATCTGGTAAAATGCAGTCGATGTCTCTTTCAACTTTTCCCAATACTCAATCTCATCTAATGAGAACCTTCACTACAAGTTCAGGCAAGTCCCATTGTTTTATAATTGATACTGGGAGTACTGAATCTATAATTTCTAAGAAAGATTTACAATCGATTTGTAAGAATGTCCAGATAGACCCTACTACTAGTTCAATTACAGGCATAACTGGTCATAAATTACCTCTTATCGGTGCTACTAACATTTCTTTGAAATCAGACAGTGGTAATTTTGTAAATATTCCCTTTCTTGTTAGTGAATATGGTCCATCTTTATTGGGATTAAAAGCCCTTAGATTGTTAAATGTCGAAATTTCACTTTGTACTGAGTTGTTTGATGAATCTTTGTTCAGGAATTACTTCTCCAATGCTCAAAGAGTGTAGGTGGTATGAAGATTCAGCCCATCCATCTTGAAATAGAGGGTGATCCTATCTTCCTGAAACGCCGATTAATTCCATATGGATTGCGAGATGCAGTTAAGAAAGAGTTAGACAAGTTGGTTGAGCAAGGCATACTTATGCCAGTTGAGTCTTCAAATTGGGCTACTCCTATTGTTACGCCACTAAAGGCTGATGGAAAAACACCTAGAATTTGTGGTGACTACCGCCTTACACTCAATAGTCGTCTACTACAGCAAAGTTGCACTACTCTAGAAACTGAAGACATTCTCTACAAGCTACATGGCTCAAGATACTTTTCCAAAATAGATCTAAAAGATGCCTATTTGCAAATTCCTCTTGATGAGGCGTCTAGTGCATTAACAACCATTAATACTCCATTTGGATTGTTCAAGTATAAGTTCTTGCCTTTTGGTTTAAAGGTTTCACCTGCAATATTTCAAAATGTAATAAATCAGATGATAGATGGATTAGATGGTGTTGAGTCATACCAAGACGACATTATAGTTCATGGTCCTAATATCGAATTGCATAATGAACGTCTTTTAAAACTGTTCAGGCGTTTATGTGAGAATAATGTTCTTGTTAATCCATCTAAATGCCATTTCACTTTGTCGTCTGTATCATGCTTGGGATACACAGTAGACTCCGAAGGTTTCAGACCTGATGCTAGTCGTTTGGCACCTCTAATTCAAGCACCGTCACCTAATAATATGTCATCGTTGAGATCATGGATAGGTACTCTTCAGTTTTACTCCAGATTCATTCCCAACTTCACTCAACGGTTATCTCCACTTTTTGAGATTGTCTCCAGTAAACAGTTTAAGTGGGAACAACAACATGAGAATATCTTGAGAAAAACTTTGGAGTTTCTTAATAAACAAGCTTTCTTAAGACCTTTTTCATCGAAAGATAAGTCTGTTCTCACTACAGATGCTTCTCCTATGGGTATAGCTGCAGTACTTGAGCAAAATGGACAACCTGTTATTTGTATTTCAAGACGTCTAAGTAAGAGTGAACAAGGGTACTCACAAACCCAGAAGCGTATTGTTTAAATACTTACTGTTGATTGTTAATATTTCATATATGAATTGCATAAGAATTCCGCTAAATACAAATTCCTGATTGCTGCCCTCTCTGTGTTTTGTTTGGATTCTTGTAATTCGGTCATCTCGAAATACTAATATTCCAAGTACAATAAATTACTACAAAACTACAGCACACTGTCGCGCAGTGGCTGCACGTAGATTTAGGTCCTTATGCGCAAGTTGCAGAGCCTTTACTAGAATCACCAGAGATATGTTCACCTCCTTATATACATCTCTGGTGCGGTCAAGACTGCAAAACTGCATCCAGGCCGTCAGTCCCTGTCTAAAAGGGGACTCACACATTCTAGAAAGGGTTCAAAGAATGGCAATACGTATGGTTCACGGTATAGCTAACTTATCATACGAGGAAAGACTGCACAGTTTAAATCTCTTCTCACTGTCATACCGTAGGCAGAGAGGAGATTTAATCAGAATGTCTAAAATTTTAAATAATGACTACGGACCTGACCTATTCTCTCTCTTCTTTTCCACCAGGTCGGAACGCCTTAGAGGACATAGCAAGAGAGTTCAAAAGACAGGAAGAAATCATATTTCCGTTGAGTACTGGTTCTCACACCGAGTCATAAACTCTTGGAATCGACTCCCAGAAGAAGTGGTGTCTGCAACCTCAACTGATTCGTTCAAGAAGGGTTTGGACAATCACAGAAATTTACTAGAAAAGGATTAACATAAGCTCCAAGCCTCCTATCCTCAACCTATAAATCTGAAATTCTATGTCCTGGTTGTTGTTGCTCAGCTGGACGCACTATGTGGAAGCGTATTGGTTTACTTTGGAAGGAATGAACGGTTATATGAAGACAGTGGGACTCCTGTGACTTCCAGAGTTCGTTTTCCTAGAACTTCTTTAGATAAAGACTTCAAAAGTTCAGCTAAAGTGGTATTAAGCTAGTTGAAAGAGATCTAGGAAACCTGTTAGTTAGTCTTCTCGAATCACTTCGAGCTTATTCCACATCGACTTCAAATACAAATAACTCTCATTGTTGTTGCGGGCTATCTGTTCTGTTAGACATCAGCTCTAGCCCAACAACCGGGTGACTATATACCGGTTCACCTAACCTGCCATCCCTAGTGGCGAAAGAAGAATGTAACTCTAAAATCTGATCCAAGGTGTGTTTATTAGCGATCACAGCAGAAGGATATACTGATATTCAATCGAGCCACAACGTAGGCGCTGAGCTTTTGTCTTCTGAAGACTATTTTGACCACTGTGCGTTTCACTTCGCACCGATAAACAAACTGATCGTTGACAATGAAATGGCTAAGGCTCACTTGGCTTGACAAACTTCCTTGGTCCCGAACAGGAAAAATCAGCGAGTATATTAAATCAATGGTAAGTATGTCATGGGGGTCTGGCATATGATATGTAGGACTTTAGGATCACACGTACATAAAACGAGCACAGAAAAAAGAAAGAACAGAATTTTAGTTCCAATAATAGCGGCAGTAAATCAGAATAGGATGGTACATTGTACAGAAATTAGCGTAATTTTTATTGCTATTGTGTCGTCCTTATTCTTGTTGGCTCACCCCTTAGGTGTGCTTAACTTTATTATTTTTCCGTAATTTTCCAGACTTCTGTGGATGTCATCTGCTGGAGATGTAGTCGGAACATTAACAGGCAA